CATTAATTTATTTTTACTTAAAAAAATACTAACATGTTCAAAATAATATTTATCAATTTTACTTCATTCGATTTTAGATTTCAAGATATAAAAATTTTCACAAAACCTAATTATTAAAAAAATTCAAACATTATTATTAAATTATTAAAAAATTAAACAGTTTATTGTTATTAAAAATATTTTACATATATTGCGATAAAACACTACAATAAATAAAACGATAAAATAATCTTTCAGATATTTAAATTTCTCTTCTAAAATAGAATTAAATATATTCAACTCTTGTGCAAAATAAAATGATGAAGCACTTTGAATCCCGTTTTTATCTGCATATCTATATTGCCCAGATAATCAATCATTACTACGCAGAAGACGAACGGCGTGAGGATTCTCCAAGTTGAGAATCGCCGACTACCGATCGTTTCTCCGGAACACGACTCATCGATTACGTACCCCGCGCCACCTTATTATGCACGCGCTGTCTCACAGATATATATTTAGACAGTTCGTTTCTCGCGGGATACAATGAAATTATAGCGCGGCCGCGGAATATGTGGCGGTGAAACGCACAGAATACGTAATATATCGGGCGTTCGCTCGAACGCGTTATCTCGGCGTGTCGATTTCTTTTTCTTTTAACGGATACACGGCGCGTACATCACGCGCAATTAATGACGGAACCCCCGTACGACCTGTAATAACGAGCGCGCGGCGATCGCGGATCATTAGAAGCATCATCCCGCGCTGCCACGGCTGCACTGCTCACGCACGGCTCTTACCGCGGTTACGTGCTCGGGGTTTAAGAGAATGACCTAGAACCTGAAACCGTGAACTCACTCGCGATTACAGGGTCGGGGTGAAGAGGCTCGGCCCTTCCAGAGATTTTAACATGATCGGGCAGCTCGTTACGCGCGGCAATGCCGCGGCGGCGTTTTCTTTTTCTCAAGAAAAACCTTTCGCCCGTACGCGTAGCAGGAGGTATTCATGCGTTCTCATGCCTGCGGACGTAAAAATAATTTACACGGCGGCAACGCACCGCCGTCGCCTTTACGTATGCAGATTGGATGCGACGTGTGCAACAAAGTGTCTTGTAAGGTGGCTCAATGAGCTTGATAGGGAATTTATTTCTGCGTATTCAAACGATTTGCAAGAAGCAACGCCGTCTTATTTTTGGTACATTATATTGTAACTTTATTATGGTAATGTTATGTTTGCTGCTTTACGTTATATTAACTTTTATCGCGCGATTTGTGTACATCTTTCGAATTAGTTAGAATTGCGTAGTTTATGCGATAGGTATAAGAAGGACTGGTAAATGCAATGCAATTTTGCGGCAGTTCTCTCCTAATAGTGGGCACTTACCTAATAGCTATTTGCTTTTATCAGCAATCATTTCGATAACAACGCGGCCGGAAATTGCACCGTCGTAACACTCAAGCGCTCGAAGAAAATTAATCAATGGCGAAGGATCGAGTAATCGCCGAGCGCATCCTGCGTTGCGTCGGACAAGCGTTGGCTGCGTTCGTTCTCGCGTCTCTAAAAGGGCAAACGGATAAAGAAATATAAAAGTCGCCGATCGGTATCGTCGAATCATTCGGTCCATAAATCTTCATTAAAACGACCGCGCTAGCCCGCCGATTCGCTCGTGCAGTAATTTATCGAGGGCTCCGTTTGCAGCTGAAAATCTCATCCGTTCGCACCGCATAGAACGCATTTTCTTATCAGCCCTTGGGTAGATATACGTTACAAATCGCGGGCAAGAACTCGCGCAATCTCTGGCTTCGTTCCCTGCGAGAGAGGAAACCGTGCGTTTTAACGGACGACCGGAGACGAGCGTCTTCGAAGAAACGATCCCACGAGCGCGAAACGGCGCGAGAAAGAGACGGAGGCATGGAAGAGGCGAATGAATTTGCTCGCCCTTTGCTGCCCGTAGAAAAAGGGTCGACTCCGAGGCCGGAGACCTTGGGTCGAAAGAGGAATGCAAATCGAGACCGGTCACGAATATTCTAATGTGCAGTTAGTCCTTACACAGGACGACGAGGGAGAACGTCATTCGGTTTCTCCCATCGGCGTAACAGCCGCGGAGATTGCAGTCGCGAAGGGCGCACGTTCGCGCGGCCGGAGGATGTTCTTGCGTCACGATCCGCGATTAGATACTCCGCGTGCCTCCGCGCGGACTGGAAACGCCGCACGAAATGCGAATGACGATGTCGAATCCCGCAAATGACGTCGTATTTGCGACATTCTTAGTATCGTCCCGGGCAAACAGATTGCCGTATTTTTCCAATTTACTCGCTCGCCACAATTCTCAATGTTGCGTTGATTGGACCAGGTGTACAGCCGGGGAACGGCCGGTCGAGGAAGATTGCTCAACTTCTTTGCTAAGCTAAACAAAAAAAAACTTTTTTACGTCGTGTATTTATTTTTAGATGCCAAAGGAATCTAATGTTTGCAACTTTGAATGCCGTTGATTAGTTCCGCATTGCGAGATTTGTTACAAATTTAGGCATAACGCGCTTTTTATGAAAAATGCACAACAGGTAATGTGAAAGTATTTGCGTGATCTATGGCGCGTTACGCGTTCCGCCGTCGCGTGATGCTGGCGACGCGTTACGAAATGACTCCGCCGCGACAAGATTGCTCATACGCGCGAGATTTAGAGACGTGAAAACCGAGCCGAGAGGGAAAAAACGCTCACCTGCGGCTGCACGATCGAACCCCGGGATAACCCCGGGAGAAAATGCCGCCGAAGAGGCATGGGACGGAGATAGATGCGAGCGGACATGATGGTAGTAAAGTTCACGGAAGAAATACGTGATACGTAGAAGGGCCCTAGGAAAGCGCAGGTTCCCAAGGTGTCCGGAGAATTTCGCTTTACGATCGCAAGAAAGCACGGCGAGTCCCCCGCTTCGGCGCTCCTCTCTCTTCCACGACTTTTCTGCCGGTTATTCCGAGAATTCTCCGAGATCCGATATCCTACGGCCGTTTTTTCGAGGGACTATTCTTACTGCGCTATTTTTCTACGACTAGATTTATGCCTCGTTTGTGCAGGGATCGTAATTTAAACGGACAGGAAGGCAAGTTTAACAGCGGTCCGCCGACTGTTGATTGTCGTACTTCGGAGTTACGAAACGACTTGGCACTTATAATCAGTATATATAATCAACAATCAGGAAATTTTGCAATCGAATTATTTGGACATGACAGTCGGTTTTTGTCGTCGCGTATGAAGACTCCGAGTGTCTGCTTGGTTCTAAAAATATTCGCGATATCATGTAAGCATACAAGCGGGATCCTTTGACGTGAAGCGAGTTCGAGACGAGTGGTCGGTTAGATGTAATTTGTACAGGATCTCTCCAGAGGTGAGAGAAGTTCGCAGTCAAGGCTCCCTCTTCGAAGTCATTGACATTGGCGGCCGGCACGAGAAGACAGATGCTGCCCATTATATATCGAGTGGTTAGTAAAACAGCGACACTCTCATTGTGCAATTATTTAATCGTCGCTTCCAAACACGACGAGCCATCAATTTATTTCCATAAATTTGGAAGAAATTCAAAAATTCGAAAATACATTAATTTTATCTTCCATTTTATTTGAATTCCAATCTGCTTGAAGTTTGGTCTCACTTCCTGAATTTAAATTTCGGACCAAAGTTCAAGTTGCATTCCGGGCTCTCGGATTCTTCATACCGATCCTGTTCGCGGATCTAATGCTCGCCGTCAGATGTTGAATGTTCTTAATAGCGTTACCTGACGAAGCATCGCGCTTCTCCCCGCGATTTCGTTTCGGTGCGCGTTCTGAGACGCGCGCGGCGCGGTCGCTTTTTTGGCGTTGTATGCGCGTGATGAGATCTATTATCTCGGATGACTGTTCTCTTTCGCCGGCTTCTGCGAGCGGGGCGCGTCGGTGAACGTCCTTTCTCTTTCTCGGCGGGACATTCGTGCGCATCATCAGGCACACCGTCAGCGTATGAACGGCAATTGTCACTCTCGCGGCAAAATCAATCAATGTTTCTCGAGCGCAATTTAAACGAGTTATTTTAAATTGCATCAGAATAAATAAACGCATAAATAGATGTCAAAACATTTTTTCATAATTTTCCAACATTCTTTTGCTGGAAAAAATATTTTACATCTTTGTATGACTTATTTAATTTCACATTTTTTCGACTTTGAAGCCGCAAAAAGCTCACTCGGTATTAAAACGATATGTTCTATTCTCGAACGAACGTCAAGACAAAAGACATAATTCAAGCGACAATCTTACCAGTTGTCACCTGCCACCATTAACTATGCGCGACGCGAAGGCGTAACTTCCTCCGACTCGATTTCCGGTCGCCGGAAACGTCCTTCTAACCACGGCTGAATCCTTAAATGAAAACAATCTCTTGCAGAGGGTCCCTCCCTTCCTCGATCGCAAACGAGGCGAATCGTTGCGCATCGTTGCATAATCTATCGCGCAAAACTATATGTATGCGTGAACAACCACGTACATATACGTAATTTTCCAGGTAAATTATGTATTCTTGGTGAATTCCTAGAAAACTATTGAATGTATTTTACGCTTTAAGCTTGAAAAAAATTTGGAATTGGTTAATAAATAACACTTGCAAATTACTTCTCCCGGGGAGATGCATAAATATCTCGATACTTGCGCGGCGTGAATGTTGTGAAGACGTTAAAATTATCTTATTACAGAGTCGTTCGAAACCTATAAACTTTTCTTCCACAGTAAACGCTAAAACGGTATAAACTCGTAGAAACAAGTTGGAAATTTTTGTTACATCGAAAAGAAACTTGGAATTTCGCGATACAGCTAATATGATACATTTATGAGAAATAACGAGGATTGTTTCCACAATTTCCAGCATTTTATTAACGCACAATGTTCGCAAACATTCTGCAGATATGTCCGTCTAGAACCGGCGATTCTTTTTGTAGAAAAGTCGAGTCTTCGAAATCATTCGCATCTAAATCACAATATGATTTCGCTGTCGGCAGCAATCGATACGGCCTGACGAATGAGGATCTGAATCGACGCTGGAGCAATCCCAATCAGGTGTATCATCCGGTGATCTATCACACGAAAGGCCTGATGGAGTATTGCGCCCGGGTGCTGCTCAGGCCGCCCCATGTTTTCGTCGATTATCACGGCCACTCGCGGAGGAAGAACGTGTTTCTGTTCGGCTGCTCAAGGTCGGGTTCCTGGAGCGCCGCGGACAGGGCGAAACCGGACCAGCCGGTGCAGTATTTGGTAAGGATCAGAGAGGCACGGAAGGGAATCGACTATAGGTGATATTTTTAGACACCCAGCCGCGAATATCATTCATCCTACATTTTACCTGCCACCGGGCGCGGCCCGGTGGACGTTTATCACTTTCGGCCGGCCGCGCTTTCAGCGCGAACTTTTGATTTGCGCGAATAATTGCGCGCCGACAGCCGTGATTCATTTCGCGCATCGCTTCGTCACGATAACATCCTTAGTCAGCGATATCGGAGGGCAAGCTTCTCCTCGTCGCGAAATCCTTGATTTTCGTCTCAGCTTCTGTAATGCGTAATCGTCGCGTCTCCTTTTCTGTGTGCATCAGATGTTACCGCATCTCATGCAGAGGACCTCGCCGGCTTTCGCTTTGCCGCTCTGCTCCTTCAAGGTCGAGAGGAACAAGGAATCCACCGCCAGGGTCGCTGTGTGGCGGCAGTTGGGTGTTTCGAGGTAAATGACGGCCACATACTGAGCAGCGATCTGACTCGCAATGAGATTCCATGTAGCAAGGTCGAGGTCGCGCGCATATCTTGACCCGTCTAGACGAGAGGTCCCTTTTTCGAAATTCATAGTTACTGTCAACATTAATTTGCCGAGGCACTTTTACTTGAATTAATATCTGTAGAGATTTATATGTTGAATAGAATTATTTAAATTATAAAGACTCGATAAGAGTCGGTAATCAATATTTCATCCGAACAGAAGTTACACAATGGAAAGCAGCTTTTGTGGATGTGATCAAGGCGCACTAGCGGGATTGCATCTCGACACAGAGCACCTGAAAGCCATTGGAACAGATTTCTGCCAAGCTTTATCCATGATGAAGGACGGCGGTGACGATTGGGCTGTTGAAAAGTGCGTAGAGATATGCAATCAGTCCGTTTATCTATTTGCAAAGGGAATAAATTTAATTAAGTATAAATTTATGATTAAAATCAGCTCCTTGATAAAAGAGGAAGAATAACTTATAATAGATCAAAACTTTAATATCTTTGTTCAATGAAAAAGATATTGGCATATTTTATGATATCTAGATTTATATATTACTGGTGAAAATAAAAGGATCTACACAAGATTGATGTATTATTCGATATAGATCGAAGGAGCAAGCCTGTTGCCCGAGAAAGTGTGTTTTACGAAAGTCGCGGAAAATTCCAAAATGTATTCAGGATAAGCACGCTATACACCATACTACGGCACTTTCTTAGCAATCGAAATAATTAAGCAATTGCAATATAAGGCAAGATTTATGTACGTTACGTGTGCGCGAATTGCAAATTTAATGCTTTATTGTATGGTCCTGTATTAACAATGTATATGTTTTATTATCGATCAACTTAATATACTCAGTAAGCTCAGTAAGCAAAATGCTAGCAGTGCTGGCGGACTAACAGCAAATTTGCTGTCAACATTGCTAATATTTGGCGGTCCGAAATAATTAACTAACAATAATAATTTAATCATAATAATAATTTAAGCGCGGAATCGTTATAATTTAACTTTGACGATTAAAAATAATTATCAAACTTGTATGTACTTATTAACTTACCTTCGGCTGATCGAAATTTCGCTTATTTATCGGTCAATATATTTTTTTGTTAATAATTATGCTTGTTTTTAGAATTTCCATAGAGGAGCATGTTCCTGAAGAATCAAGATGCATAGACGACGAAGTATCTTCCAGTAGCGAATCCAACGAATCCGATTTCGAGACTTAGGAAACTGCACTTTAGTCAAGTGTCGCAGAATATTTACTTCAACGACGAAATTCGATATTTAATTTTCAGCATAGACTCGAAAGTTTATACAAATTTCCGTTCTGAATAATAAAATAATAGTGCGCTAACAATAAGTGATACATCGCAAAGAAAAATATGTGCAACAACGTTTATTTGAAACTGGTAACAAATGTTCTGAGCTACTATCTATGTACATCGCAATTTGCATATATCCAGAAATCAATACTTTGCAAATTAAATTTAACGAGATTATAGATTTAAAGAGTGTGGGGGTACTATATTTTAAGTTAATATGACCGCGTGCGATTATTTAGCTTGAAAATAAAATTTGAGAGTTGAATGCGTGAGATCTAAACATAGCAATAAAAAATGACATTTAGAAAGTTTTACATTTTGCGGAAATTGGAATCATAAGTGCAGCAAATTTTAAATAATACCAGAAAAGAGAATTGTTTTACATTTATTCTCTCGTATTGTTACCTCGCTCTATACTTTGTACACATACAATGTGATTATATAAATATAGAAAATAAATGTTACTGAGCTGTGATTCTCTGTACAGATTTTGTGAGACCTCTCATCCTAAAATTTCCCGGTGCGAACGGACTGAAGTGAATCGAGACGCATCGTGTTTTCCACAACGCCCATAAGTAAATTAGAAGAAAGGTCTTGTTGAAATCAAGTAGCGATTCACGCGAAAGGACGGCGTGCGAAGGGTGGGGTGCTGCATTTGGAGTGGTCCGAGATGCGTCATTTTGTTGACAACGCCAATAGAAGAATAGATGGGAGAATGTGTTTTGTTTAGATCAGCGACGATTCGCACAAAGAATGCTGCGTGAAAGGTGGGGGATGCTGCAACTGGAATGGTCCGAGGCGTGTCGTGAGAATTCCTTGAATATGCCAATAGTAAGGCGGAAGAAAGGTCTTATTTAGGTAAACGACGATTCGCGCAAAGGGTACCGTGCGAAAGGGGAGGTGCTGCAACTCAAGTGGTCCGAGATGCGTCATTTTGTTGACAACGCCAATAGAAGAATAGAAGGGAGAATGTGTTTTGTTTAGATCAGCGACGATTCGCGCAAAGAATGCTGCAACTGGAATGGTCCGAGGCATGTCGTGAGAATTCCTTGAATATGCCAATAGTAAGGCGGAAGAAAGGTCTTATTTAGGTAAACGACGATTCACGCAAAGGGTACCGTGCGAAAGGGGAGGTGCTGCAACTCGAGTGGTCCGAGATGCGTCATTTTGTTGATAACGCCAATAGTGGGGCAGAGAGAGAGATCCTGATTGAGAAACGATTGGATAATGGGACGTCTTCGACTCGAGTGGTCCGAGAGAGAGAGAGAGAGATGCACTGTTTTCTTAACAGCAGCAATAACGTAGAATAGATGAGAGGTCTTATCAAGATAAAGTGCGATGATTTGCGTGAATGATTTTGCATATCTATTGTCACAATTTGTTCAAAATGCACTGTTTTTATGACAACGCCAATAGAGTAAAGTAGAGAGTAAGTGTTATTAAAAGCATCATAACTGTGTGACATAAAAAGAATCTATCAAAAGTTAACAATTGCGGGCGGAATTTGATTTATTTTACTTAGATATGCTGAGCAGTATCGAAATAAGCAATGCAATTTTATAGAAATTAAATATAAATGCAACAAAGTGCGGCGTGCAGTATTAATGGCAATCAATGTTCGAACTCTGAAAATAGGAAAGGTATAGATCACAATCTGGCATTTTGCATTTCTATATTATTTTCAGAATTTATAGCGAAACTGTTTATATATGTATATATTGCTTTCTAACAGAAGCATCTTTCATCACTGTCAAATAAGCAAAATATTGACCGATTGACAGCAAATATGATCAATTTCCTGTTAATTATTTGATAAAATTTGCTGTCAACATTGCTAACAATTGGCTATTTGATAACAACTGGCTAAACAAATGTTTAACTCGGCAATCTAATTCTCGGTAAAAACACTTTATCAATTAAGCATAGTCAGTCACATGGTTGTATACTATACTTGTATACGTCATTTTTTTTAAGATCAAATCGTTATCGTCATCGAAATTCGACGATACGCAGATATATTACGCGGATATAGGCATTTCAAAACATTTTCGCATTGTCAACATATAAGAGTTGGCAATGTACACATTTCATTACAAATAACAAACATACGTAACAATGAAAAATTTAGTACCAAATGATTCTTCAACGCTGCCGCTCGCAGATTAAATTATTTAATGGCAATGTAATTAAAAAATTCGTTGATTAAAATTACTATAAAAATTGTGCCCTGTACAATATTAATTGATTCAATCGAGATTATGTTGCATATGCAAAAAATTGCACGCTGCACCTACGAATCAATTAATTAAAACAACGCTAAAAGTAGGATTCGTTAACTGGCGATTACAGTTCTCCGTAAGACTCTATCTGATTTAAGCAAAGACGTCGGAATGAACTTCAATAACATTATTGTCGATTTCGCGCGTTAGTGTAGCCCATGTAATCGTCGTATAATCTTATCGAAATTTAGCCTAATGCTTTATTACACGTGTATAAAGCTGACGTAGCCAAAATCGGCTTCGTACAAATTACTACAAAATGTCCACTGTTGTACTCGTGTACGTATAAACGAAAGCCGGAGTGAACCGAACACGGCATTATCGGCCTTATCGTGATCGTATTAATCATTATATATCCTCAAATAATTTTTCACAGATTAATGACTAACGTGGAATAATTCAGTGATAAGCTGTGCGCACGTTCACATCAAGCAACGAAAAAAGCAGTAGATAATATGAAGATATTCGCCATCATCATCATCGGCTGACAATGGAGTCGTCATTTTAATCTGTTCTTTGACGGAATACCAGAACTTTCGATACGTTTAATTTGATTTTACCTAAACAAATGCTAATTTTCTATGTGAATTTCGACAACGCAGGATTACAATGGATTACGCCGATCTTTCCGCTGGACAATCAGTGACCGGGAACTTCATTCGATGCCGTGCAGTTTCTTCATCTGTAGCTTCATCTGCTCGTAAGTTATCCACAGTACGATGTTCCAGGACACCAAGCGCGAGAAACTCGGTACGAAGCCCTTGTAGAACGCGCTCGGGCCCTCCTGGACGAAGGTCTTGATGGCGCAGTCGATCGCGCCCTTGTACTCGCCGGCGGCGCTGTTCATGTAGCGCGTCTTCACGACATCCACAGGACTCGCCGCCAGGGTGGTGCAGAGTCCCGCAACCGTCGCCGCTGTGAAGTGGCACGGTATTCCATCGCGGAGATAGCCGCTGGCGAGGATGAGATCCTTGATGATATCATAACAGACGATCTCCGCGACGTTCACGATAACGTTTCGCGAGATGTTCGGCAAAGTTCCTGCGAATGACGAGGATAGCGGTCAGATTAATTCATAGAATGATATCTTTTTCTCGATGTTCATGTCTTGCATATATTTTTGTATTTGTCTGAAATAATTTTGAAATTTGAAGAGAGAGAATAACGATGTTTTCTCACCTTTCCAGAGGCCTTTCGCGCCTTCCACGTTGGCAATATTCTTATACGCCTGCAGGGTGGAGCTATACCTCGCCGATGATCGCCCATTATTTCCAGCCTGCATGCGGATCTTGACGACGTCGGTCGGCTGAGCAAGCAGCACTGCCAAAGCGCCTGTTGTGATTCCCGCAGCGACGCGTACGCCGATATTCATCGAGGTACCGCTCCTATTATTACCTGCTAAAATAAAAGTGAATAGTGAAGAGCGATGATTGTCGTGGAGGATAGATTAAAAGTTAATATCGGATAGGACAGACGCGGATTACGCGTCAATCACTTTTTATTGACTCATTAAATGCTTTCTAATCAACCAATGTCGCTTTTAACGAGATATTTTTACTGCTTACAAGTGATGAAGTAATAAACTTTTTAGAGTTTGATGTTAATTACAAATAGTAAAATTTCGATTGTGAAGAATATAAGTCGTGCCGAACAATTGCGGAAACAAAATTAATTTGTCGATAAAGTTAGAATAGCAACCGTGTCATATAAACTTTCGCGTAAAAAATATATAAAACGATACGATAGCAAAATTCGAAAGCGCTATTTATTCGTCTGTGGATGTCCAATATTTATATAGCGATTGAATCGCGAAAAAAAAAAATATGTTTAACTTTAAGCAAAACTTGAGAAAAAGCTTCAGCGATTCGTCAAAAATAAATTGTTTCAAGTTATTACAGTTGGTAAATATATTTAAATATTATAACATAAGTTTGTGGTTCTATGTATAAATATTATTTTGTCGAATTGAAACTTTTCTCATAATTGCAGTAGAATAAATATATAATAGTTTCTCAATTGTTCAATGCAGCGAGTGAAAATTATAAAAGATACGTATAAACGTATAAATTTTCGTTTCAAACGTAATAATTTATTCGTTGTATATTAATCTTTCAGCTCCCCTATTTCTACTTTCTTACTGTTAACTTATCTTTCCTTCTATCTCCCTTTTTCTCTCTTTCAGCCTCGAAAACGACGAAGAACAAGGAAGAATGCACGTTTCGAGCATCTTCAGCCGAGGCAATCCGATCCGCGCGTAGAGTTTGCAAGAGCTTTCGTCGTTGTAAAGCGAGTAGCCGATAATAATAATCCGCCATTCGTGGGTATATGTGTCTGTGTATATGTCAGTGTTGGGCGACATTCGTATAATTCAGTATCTTTTCAAAACATTGAGTTTAACGATAATAAACTTTAGAGAAAGTATAAAATTCATCATTTCTAAATTTTCTCTATGCAATACTTATATACATTTCATTTTCAAAGCAAAAATGTACAAAAAAATTAGCAATTATTATATATACGTTTAAATTTTTTGTCTACAAATGTAAATAAATTTTTGCACAATTTTATGCGCTCTTCGAGGAGTAACATTTTTGCAATTACAATTCGCAATTATTATTCGCAAAATATTGTCCAACACGGATATGTACGCGAATCTACTGCATTGCTAATATATGTCGAGACGTGTGTGTTCTGATATATGTGTGGCATGTATGCGTGTGTAGAAAGGCGGGATTGTATCCACGGCTATTTGTGTGTCGCAGGAGAATATATTATCAAAAAGTTAGGAGTTTGTTGGATGTACCGTCGAAGATTCCAGCGTAGAGTGACTTCACGCTGTCGTAGAGGCCCAACCGTATGCCGGCGAAACACATCTGTCTCTGGAGTCCCGCGGACAGACCTCCGTACAGGCTCCTGTAACCACCCTCGCTCAAGCTCACCGCCCTCACAATTCACCCTCAAATGCATCCCCGGGGCTTATTTTTTTTTTTTGTTACACATTTCTCTCTCTCTCTCTTTTGCTCTCTATCTCGTTGCATTTTTTTTTACATCGCTCGCCTTTGATACAAATATCGCGCAATTTTTCTTTTTTTCTTCTCTCTTCCCCTTTTTCCCTCTTTTTATTTTCCTGCGCGATTTCAATCAAACAAGCGCCGTAATCTTCCCAGACATCGAATGCTTTAGCGAAAGTCAACATCGTTTCGTTAATCGAGTGATTTACAGATCGGAGACGCGCGAGAGAAAAGAGAAGCGGCCCAAAGGCCGAGAAATAACCGGGAGAGAGCGTGCGTCATCACCAGCCGAAGTCACGAATTGTAATGTTGTACCGCGGCTCAAAATTCAATGAAAGAAGGCACTGGTGGTCGGGAAAGTATAAACCGTCGCTAGACAAGATAATTGAAATAAAACCAAGAAGAGAAACTGAGAAAGAAAGGAGAGAAACCGTGTGAGAACTTAAAAATATCACGGAGGGGAGACGTAAGAGGGATAAGCGGGTTGTCTCTCGAAATTTTTAAACGATTCCATCAGCAACTGCTATCAAAGGTAAAAAGAAATTTCGTGATGTTTCACGTGGCGTACAAAAAAAGTTTATATAAAACGTCACGTTCGCTCGTATTATGCAGTATATTGTAACTGGAATTATCTTGCAAAAATTGATAAAGATCTAGCATTTTGCACAAAAAAGAAAGATGAATTATCAATTATCTTACAAACGAGGTAACGAAAAGAGAGACAACTCGCGTGCGTGAAAGAAATAAAATAGTAAGAATAATAAAAATGATAAAAAGAATCGACGAGAATGCCGTCGACAAGGCTCGTCACGTTCGATTCGCTCTACATCTTTCGACCTTTAAAGAATGTAATAAATTCTTGAAAGCCATTCTTTTCACTATTCTACATAGAAATGCGCATATAAATTGCGTTATGTAAAAAACAATTACAGAGTAGGCTGCCTACAATAGGTTATTGCAGAAAGAGCGCTTGTCCACGACACCCGATCGAGAGGCGAGATTGAAATCATATTTGTCTGGAAATTAATGCTTTAGAAAAGTTTCCCCAGAAAGAGCGGAAAGTGTCGTTTTAACGCACGTGTGCCAGATATCGAGCGAAATTCCGATGAAAATACGATGAGTGTCACCGCTATCATTCTCATCGATCCTTCCTTCACTGACATATCACGAGACTGGAGTACACGATTATTTACCCAATCGATTTATGTCATAATGGTTAAACAAAGTGATCGCATACATACAGCTTGGCAAACATCCACTGCAAACATATGATGTTGCCGTATTCGAATTACGCTCGAATCATATCGTACACAGGATAATGTAAAGGAAAAGTTCAAATCAATAGTCATTTATATTTGAATCAATCCGCAATTACTAACACATTGTGCTAGATATTCAATTATTATTTATTCCGAGTTTATTTTTAATAAGTTTTCTTTGTACTCTACGTATGTCAAATGTGTAATTCAACGGATAAGTGACGAAAGAATCGATCAGCTCGACCTGGCACACGCCGAAACAAGAAGAGTGGTTAATATTATTTTCAGAGAGATTGATACTCACAAATGCGAAACAATTATTTATAACCAAACGAGCAACAGCTCTTTGAGTAGTTTCGAATGAGTTCTAAATTGAATCAAGGCCCGTATAAAAAAGAAGTCTTGCACTTCTAAATGCGTATATATATATGTACAAATGTTAAAAGATTGAACAAAGTTGATTTACCTACCATCGTTTCCTTAAATTACTATTAGGATAATGAACGACGTACCTTGCTCCCTCGAATCTGACGATGTTGCCGATGGTCTGCAGCAATCCCGGCTGGCTCGCTCTCACTGCAAGGACCGACCCTTCCGCCAGCAGCAGGGCCTGACCTTCTCCCGCAATCTTTGAAAGATTTCAAGCGTGTGAGATATCGATTCGATGAATAATAAACACAGCCTCGTCACTCTTCGGGTATAAGCGGATCGAATAATGGATTATTTTACTTACTTGCATTCGAACTTTGGCGGTGTCCAACGGAAAGGTGGCTAAATCGGCGATGCAGGCCGCGGTGCCCGCGGTAAGCAGCTTGAGGCCAAGCGAGTAATCTTCCGACGCTCCCTGCTTCATGATTTCCGCTGTTCGGTTACTTTTCTCTCTTTTTTTTTTTCCTTCTTGTTTTCTTCTTCCCTCTATTACTGCTGATGAGGTGCGATTGGAAGTGCGCGTGTCGGTCTTGCGGAGGATGGTGCAGGGCTCTTGGAGAAACTTCCGGCTGATTATTCCCCGCGTGACAAGATCCCACGAGCTCGCTCGGCTTTTTCTCAGCAGGATCCCCCTTTTCTCGTCGGACAAGCGAGATTCTATATACACTATATACAACGTCCTGCCAGAGGACAAAGGAACTTCAGGTGTTCATTAATCTAACGGTGCTTTAAAGGTGCGTTTCCCTGAAGTGATCGGGATACGCGTGGAGTCCTCCCGATCGCGAGCACTCGTGTTTGATTTCCTGATGATGAACTTCTTTATACATACTATTCTCCTGCGAACAAACGGCGAGAAAGAAGTTTGTAAGTAAATTAGCAATCGAGAGCGCGAAAGTTAATCGGATACGAGTGCGATCGCGACTGTCGCCGGCACACCAATGTCCGTTACTTTCATCTTACCGGAGAGATATCGCATAATCGATAATTCTACGAAATGAAGCGATAAGCGCCAAAGTACACCGCAACGTAATCGCGCCGCGGTCAAAGGTAGCAGACTAGATTGTGCGTTATCGCGGGGTCAACGATTAAACAAAGCGGTGCTCCTGGCGACCGTCGATCGGCGAATATCCGATTCGGATATAGGTCGTTATCAATGCGCACGCGCGACGATCTTGAAATATTTGAATACGGCTTATCGAAGTCGTCGCCGCGACGCCTACCGTTACGCTAATCGCTGGTAGATCCGTTCGTCGCTAGCTCGTCACCACGACGCGTTTCCCACGACCGAAGCGTACGAAATGCCGCGTCGGACGTATCCTCGTTTCTACGTACGAAAAAACGTTCTGGCCGCGGCACGACCCACACGACTGAAATAGAACGCCGAATAGAATGAAAGGAGGACTAGTCGGCTTGGCGGTTTGCCAGTGTGAGGCGAAAGACCCGCAGGCTTAATTTACAATTATGATGATTAACATCAATGCCTATCATGTTTACTCACACATACGTATATTGATGTTTACATCATCATTTTGACTTACAAATGTTTGGGTGGCATGTTGCATAAAAGGACGTAATTAGATCGACTTGTAGCCGCGATCATATGTTTATATGCGAGCCGCGACACAAATTGATAATAAATATGAGCGAGATTAAATAAATGGTCGGATAAAGCGCTCCGAGTGCAAAGAACGCGGGAGATATTGATAGACTTTGTTCGATCGTTTTGTTTTCTAGAACGGTGTCTATTAAATATCAGTAGCGATTGGTTGATTTGTTTATTGAACTTAAGCAACAATCAATTATACAGCGGAATCAATACATTATAACTATACAGTTTGCCGTTCAATTGAAGAAAAAGTTCCCGGCAGCGAATTTTGTATTTTTGCTTTTTTCTCAAAAGTTAAACTGCGGAGAAATCGCTGGCTTGAATAACGATTCTATTTCTCTATTTGACTCGATACACAGGTTTTACGAATCACATGTTTATTAAATCGCGTTAAATTAGCTATTTGCGCAACGTACGAATCCACCTAGTACAAAGTCCAATAATCACATTGCGGTAGCGCGCTTTTGAAATTTACTAACACACATATAAGAAAAGAACGAATGTCATGTCCACTTGAAGAGCGTGGCACAAAGTCCAATGTTTGAATTATTTTAACTGTGTGACGAAGTACTTTTGCATTGGTGCCGTGCCTCCGCAACGTCACACGTGTTTATCATAGATAATGAAACTCAAGCTATATTAAACTTGCGCGCGTAGCTCTTTTTGTCGAGTAACTAATAAAAATGTAAAAATTGGAAATTATTCTATGTAACTTTATATTTTTTTCCATTGGTTTTTTAATTTTTATATAATTTTTTTGTATATTTGACATATAAGGTGCCATAAATAAAAATAAATCAGATTATCAACAAACTAGAATAGGAAATCAATAATTGATCGTTTGCCTGCTGCTCTGTCCTTTTAAATAAATCAGGACAACCTTCGAAATACGGAATTCTCGCGGTATCCTTGCACACGAAAACACGCTGAAGCACAATGAAAAGTGTGTATGAAAGAAAAACTTATATGGTATTCTCGACGCAGTATCCTAATATAGAAACTACCGATATCAAAATTTTCTTTTAATCAACAAAATTTTTAATCCTATTTTTTATTTTATTCTCTCGTAATGCTAATCGCTTTAGAGAAGTAATATTTTAATGACATTTTAATAACATAAAGTTAGGCTTAATTTTTTTTCATAAACAACTGTTCGCTGTAATATGAATGACATCGATCTAGATGACGTGTCAAATGCGCATTCTTATTCGGAAAATCCCAACGATGCATCTGTCACGAGAATCGGGATCAATGAATGACGTTATGAGTCATATTGAAATAATTGCAACCGGGCACGCAAAAGTATTTATTCTCAGTATTTGGCATGTGCCACCGGCGTGGGTGAATCGATGTAGCGAACTCGATGCGGTACGCGCATATGCAGTGCACCAAGAAACGCAGGTACCGCGCTCAACTTCCGCGACGCCGCTATGTCCGTCGCAGCGCGACTCGAATTTCGCCAAATTGTGTAAATTGTTGACTCGCGAATATGTGTATATATATGCGAATAAAACGACGCCGGCACGCATGGGAAAAATTCTTCATCGCGATCATACACACTGCATCCGATCAACGCATGCCCGACGAGTCGATTTTTACGTGACGGGTCAATAACATCGGTCAACGTTAATCGTAATTAGCTAGATAATGAGACTCATGCCATGGATATTAATACATTACAGAGAAAAACGATTATATGATCAATAAACAGCTAACGGCGCTAATAGAAGCGGAATACGTGAACCATGTTTCTCGCGTGAAAACCTCTTCTGACTTTTTGCAATTATAAACAAAATTAAATATTAAAGAAATTATATTAGGTATATCAACAATTGCCAAAAATTTATCTTTTAACGTATTATTAAAATAGCGTGTTGCATTTGTAAAATAATCTTTGTTTACCTTCTCGTTACACAACCGAAATGCGTAATAAATGCCTGATAAATACAACAAATTATCTAAACTGCGCAGAAAATTTAGAAATTTATAATAACAGTGTACATATCTCATAACTTAGTGTGTATTCAACTGTCGCGTTTTAATATTTGGCTTAATAGATATCGCAAGGTATCATTTACAATCCAAATGTCACTGAATATTGATTTTTTTTTTACCGAGTGGCAAAATCCCACGATAAAACAAAGATAGGACATGGCACACGTTGACAATCATATTATTTATGATATTATCGTGTTTTGTAACCAACCTTGAGAGATCCTTGAGAGAGTTATAAAATACAACGAAGGACCATTCTTAACCAACACTACACGTTTGCTACGTATATTAAAAAAAAAATATTTGAGAAATAATAACGTATGTAATAAATAATAATACAGTTCGAACGACGAGAGAATTGCTCTCCGATTTTTGATACAAAAAATAAAATGAAAAAATATGCAAAAATCAAAATTAAAACGCTACATACAGCGTTAAAGCTGCAATGTTATTAAATTGTCAAATAAACAAAATAATAATAAAAAAAAAGCACACTTTACTTACCAAGTGTACAGTGAGTGGATAACAACACAACTGAAAGGAGGTGAGAGAAAGCACCGTTTATACCGGCTCGCCGACGAACGGCGGAAGTCCAAAGCCTGTCCCGACCAATGAACAGTCGTTTGTGGCGTCATCCTCCGCCAAGGAACGTTGAGCTTGCAGAAATCGATAATTTCTAGAAGCGTGGTGGCAATCGCAGCCGAGGATAATGCATATGCGCTCTCCGCTGAGGGCGAATCCGCACCCCTTTAGGTGGATGTCGAGATTGTGCGTCATCGTGGCGTGTTGTGAGAAAAGTCGGATGTTCCACTGAAATCAAACAGAATAGCTGAATAAAATAAAAAAATAAACGTTTAATTTACCTCTTAATGCGTATTAAATGATTATAAAGTTTGATTGCGTCAAAGTTCGTAATTCCCTCTGTGTTATATATATTTTATTCCCAACTCAGGTGACCACTTACGTCAGAATATTGACATTTTGTGACGTCGGCTACTCATATTTCAAAGGTTTCAAACAATGACGGTGTAGCTGTGACATAATTCACTAATAGCATTGCACAACAAGTTACGCTTTCACGTAATAACATTATATTAGTTTTAACGGATAGAGATAATATATTTTCAATAGCATTTTTTTCATGCCTTTCTTTTTCTTTATGATGTAACATATTTGTTTTAATTTCTGGAAAAAATGTAAAGAAGCATACTTAAAAAACTATTAAATATGCGAAATAAATGGATCGCCACGTATAAGTTATAATAAATTAGTTTATTGAATTATTAGGCATGAACAATGTATTTGAAAATGCCTGATAGCAACGAGCCGCATACGTAAGATTTTATTTAAGAAAACTACTTATCCAAATCCGGTTGATCAGATTAGCTGATCAATACGCAGTAACGACCGTTCTTTGTACTTTGACTTTGCGATATCTCGTAGACTTTATTGATGTTTTATGATGCTATATTAAAGTAACTTTAAAAACCTATATATATATATAATTTGTGCCATATACGATACTCATACTTGTATCAAGTACGATGTGCATTGAAAATGAATGATTTCAAGTGGGGAATTCTAGGACATTGAATGTCGTGACTATTTGATAATAAAACATTGAAATGATTAATTGATGCTTGGACTCGACAATCAAACGATGAAAACACTTTTGAAATTAGATAAATAACTTGTCTTGAAAAATCAATAGACGAGCTGTAATAATAATTATTTCAAAATTATCTCATATAAAATCATGAAAAACAAATTAAATTAAAAAAGACATTTCGCGAATGAATGTAGCAAATAATCGTAGCATTGCTCATCGCCAAAGAATCAGGTGTCAGTAAATGGCGATAATTATCGTCACGCTGACCTCACCATGTGTTTGGCAATCGCTATGTACATCGCTACCGGAGCACTCAGTATAATCCAACATCTCTTATCGATGATTGGCGTGTTCCTATTAACTTTATTGGGTAGAGCGATTTTGTTGATCGGTTATATGGTGACAAAAGGCACTTCGAGAGAACGTCGAAGGAGTCCCATCCAAAGAGAACGGGATTCGTACACGGATTCCGAGGAGGATCACGCTAACACGAGTGCAGTATCCTTGGAGTCGAGACACTCTTCTCGAACGAGATCTGTCACTATACAAACGAGTCAATCGATTCTTGAGACTCCTATTTCCATCTAATATACTTAATTGTGTCTATCGGTATAATATTTCAATTGATATTATTCGAATTTACAATCTTTACTTATTGTTACGATATTCTTTTAACGCAAGCTTCTTTTAGATATTAATTATGCGAAATATTACACAAGATTGGAATTAGGCATATTGTACATTTGTATTTTAAAAGTACATATTACATAATCCAAGAGATATATTTCCAATGCAAAGTGCAAGAGATTGTGAATAAGTCATCTTTATATGCCGAATAAATCACTGTAGAAATAAAATTCTAAAGTAATCATATAAAATTTTGGAAAAATTTTAAATGATTATTTGAACATAAATTTCTATAAGTTTTTATAAACAAGCCATTCGTCCGACGAGTTCTCTGATTACAGATTTCAGCACTATGGAAATTAATCGCAACAGATAAAAGAGATAATGCTATTCTGTCAATTCATTAAAATATATTTATACACTGATATAAAACATAAATGCGTTAATAATTATTATCAACATATAAAAATAGAATTTCAACTTGTGCTTAGAACAAGATTATGAGTTTCAGGCTTGATTGGATATGTTAAACAATAAAAATCATATTCCTATTTGCCTTTGGTTTACGATTGGAAATTATTCACAAGAATAATCGCGTAATATAATTATATTCTGTTCAAAAAAATTTAATATTAGAGAGTTTCAATAATAAACTTTAGTAATATTATAATTTTAGCTATATGTAAGTATAAATGGACGGAATACATCAATCCATGTATCATGAGATACATACATGATATGTTAATTATAAATCTAATTATGCGTCTTATACGTGGACGGAACTAGTGTAATAATTTCGCAAATGCGCAAATCTATCACTAATAAAGCCCATTGCTGTAGCAAATAAGCATTCGTATTTTACGATAATTATTCAATCTATAAAATAAAAAAGCTACAGCTGCATGCAACTTTCTTATCAAATTCTTTGTGCATAATGTATAATTGTCAGTGTTCACATCTTAATTTAAAGTTTTAAAATTATTTTCTTTTGTCACGATATGTATGTTAGAAACACGAGAGAAAATGTATGTATGTCAAATATACAGTGAATAAAAAAGATATTTGCACATCGTTCTTTTTTTTAACTTTATACAAAAAAAAATATATTACTAAAAATATATTACTAAAATGTTTCTATTAAAGATTTTGCATTGTATTTCTACTGATATATAAAATATAGTACCTGATAGCAATATTTTTTTTCTTTGTAAAATTTATCTCAGAGTAACAATGTGCCTCTTTTTTATCCACTGTATTATTATTATTATTATTTAATTAACAGGCATAGTTGATACTGCGCTATGAGGCGTTGTCGGTCGAGAACCAGCAATAGAATGAGTTGTCGATGCGTTTAGAGATTGCATTGTACCAATCTAAAAAAATAAAATATTTTTAATTTCGAATTTTTTAACTATAGAACTTTCTGTTATACGTTTTACGATTACAAAATAATAATAAAATAAAAATATCATACCCGCAGATGAGCCAGATCTTCTAATCTTGTCAAATCGGATAATTCAATATAAAAGGAATATACGAGAAGCCAGCCATATGCAGAAATGCAGGTGAATAGTATCCATAGAAGACACATCATAATGTTATAGGCGAATATCATATCATTGACAATGCTTGCAAATACAAAAGCGAATAGTCTGAAAATAGCAAAAATAGCAAAACTATACAGCCATGGCACTATTTTCTTCTCATATTCTTTCCGCAGAGCTACGATCAATATTGAAGAAGTTATAACGATAACTAATCCACCCAGCATGGAGAATAGTGCAAACACAATTAGAGCATTACGAACTGAAAGAAAAAAGATATATAGCTTTATAATATAACCAACATTTAAATTATTTATATCCTTATATCTAAAAAAATTGTATCAAATTTAATGTTAGAAAATAAACTTACTATGTTGATTGCCCACGTAAACAAATTCATATGATAGGATATAATATCCGTAATGTGTGGAGCCAGGTGTAGCTTGTGAAAGGCAGTAGATATCAAAAATGGCTGTACATATTGTGAAAAAGGCTAAACACTGAAAAGATATATATTTTGTTTTGGATTACTTAAACAATAAAAAAATGTTTCTAAAACTAAAAATATCTTTATTAAATACATACCAATGAAAATATAGCAGTGAACATAGAACCTCTTTGAATGTCAAGTACAAAGGCATGTGTTATAATTGGTTTCTGATACCATGGAATTTTTACACTGCGAGCTGATCTTGACGATCTAAGATTTGCACTGCTGCGAGCGGTAGTGACATGGGAATACACCGACGGTGTTCCCATACTAGGAGACTTTTTTCCATAATTCATTTTGACCTACTTTCAGATAAAATCAAATCAAGTATTAAATAAAGTAAAATATTCATTTATATGTATAGTTTGTTCACTCATAACAGTTTATTTATACTCACAAGTTATAAAAATGTTAAGCAGCTAATCAATTAGACAAGTCTCTTATAAGTTGCAATGTGTTAATGATATGTGCTTGATATGTATCTGTGATGTGTATCACGATATGTCATATGTATTTCTTCTGAAAAATGTAAACAATGAGTAGATTTTTTAACATCTTGCAGAATGCTGAAATTAGCTTCTATATAGATTTACACTGCTTCATTAATAATAGCATTACACCCACAAATGTAATGAAAACTAATATTGACACAATTTAATAACAAACCTATAATTTACTCACAGTGAGGCTTTTATCAGATTTACGATTTTCATGCTATTTCATGCAACATAATATTACAATAGACACGATCTATGTGCACATTATGCACTAGTTATATCTGTGTATTTAAAAGTGTTTACAAAATGTTTCGCGTTAGTTTACGTACATATAATGGACACGCCTTGTCAAATATTCGTAATACTACCACTACCTGCTTGTATGAAATCATTTACAAGCATGGCTAATGAAAATGAAATAGAATGGAAGGTCTTACAAATAATTATAACAAAGAAACTAGATGTAGTATAGGGTGAGTTTTTAACGAGAAAACTAAACAAGAACTAAAATCAGTAAAAGAATTGGATTGGCCACGTTAAGTTCTAGTTACTTTTGATGTGTCAAATAAAATCTAAGATTGGTCGATCTATGGAACGATTATACCGTGTCCTGAAATTGCCGCGCGAACAGCGCTATCCTCTCTTAAGCTCGAATTTTTTCCTCGGTGAGGCAACGACGCTCTCGGCTGTCGCATCCATTTTCCGAGACACAACTTGAGGGACGAAAATGCGACGGATATAAATAATGGAGTGTGCGTCTTTCAGTTAATCCGCTTGTAACTCACAATTTCTGCATGTGGTGTACGTCGATGTTGCGAATCACGCTTTCCGCTCGATGAAAAATTGTGCCTTAAGAGTTCTTGACGTTTCGAATGTTTGAGTCGACGGGGTTTGTTGTTACCTGTGAACGAGGACAATACGGGAGGACTCTGCAGTTATATTGGTGTTTGTAGTCGAAGGGATTAACAAAATATACGTTTTGAGAAAGAGAGTACTCGCGGTGATGTTTCGCAAAATGTCAGTTTCCATCGTGATGAGACTGTATGCAACGGTGTTGTGAGTACCGCCGTGATGCGAACGTCATGTCAGTTTAAGGTTAGACTCCGCGACTCAATGTAAACGTATCTTATGTTTCACTGTTTATCCTGTCTGCGTCGGACATTAAAATCAAATGCTAAGTTAAAGCCAACTCTAAACTGCTTACTTCTGTGTCGGGGGAATTGTAAAATGCAGACTGCTGGAAAGCGTAGTTCTTATACATTGTGGTGATACATTCTGGTGCTTCGTCTATGCATTGATGTGTATATACCATTTGTGTGTTATGTTTTCATCTCGATGAATAGGGATTGTAAAATCATGTAAGTGGATATGCATTTATGTAGCGACTAATATTGGATGTGTAACTTTTCTTACATATGAGAGAAACCTGAAATTAATTAAAAATTAATATAATAAAGGATATGGACAAAGAAAAGCTTGAAATTAACATTACTAAAGTTAACATAACAATGAATACCTCTTTGTAGCTCAATATCATTTACAACAATGTATGTTCCTTACAGGGCAGACCGAGATTATGATATGGGTCCTGCGACAGAAATGATGGTAAATGATTTTGATGACGAACGAACGTTGGATGAAGAAGAAGCTTTAGAAGGTAGTGAAGATTCTCACAACGAGTTGTCCAACTTGCAAAAGGTATATCTCCGCAGTGTCTAATCTTTGGTACTTGGTACATATCTATACACATCTGTCACTTTGTAACAAAGTTCTGATCCCGACTATTCTAGGATCAAGCCTGAGAAATGAAAAAATCAAGCCCATAAATAATTACAATTATGATAAGTTTCTGCAACACTTTGGACTCAAAGTGCGTTCTCGTAGTGAGATTCCATGTTTAATCCGTAAAATATGCTTGATGTAATAATGATGTATTTTTGTTTCCTCGTGCAAGGAAGGTGATATGCCGCTGAAAGACCTACTTGCCATGTACGGATACGGTGATCCCTCGACCGAGAATTCCAACAGTTCCGACCACATGCTGCTGCCATCCGGAAGCGGTGATCCAGAGACTGAGGAGCGTTACTCGGACAAAGGTGACAACGATGCGGACGACGACGACGACGATGACGAGGCCGATGCGGCGAGCAACGAGCCGGATCTGAAACAGTTTTACACAGAAATGTTAGTAAAGGGCAAGGATAAGACAACGACGTTGTCAGGAACAACAAAAAGCAATAGCGGCAGCGGTACGCCTAATAGAGATAACAGGAAACGTCGACTCGACGATGACGAAGACGATGATGAAGACGTCGAGGGCGAAGAATGCTCGATAAGAAGCGCTCGAGATGGAAGTGGGAAGAAAACTAGAGCGTCGCCTACGACGGGAGGTGCCAATGCTGTCGCATGTGACGGGTTAGTCAACTTAACAGCCAACGCTGCTGACAACGCCGTCGAAGAGGGTAGCGCTAGTGGTGCGATAGACGGTTCCGAAGACAGAATAGTCAATACAGGCAGTGGTAGTTCAAGATTATTACGCAGCGTCTCGAGGCCGCAGAGCGAAGAAGAAGAGGACGACTGTGACTACAGTCCGGACGAGGAGGAATGGAAGAAGACAATCATGGTTGGCACTGATTACCAAGCAGCAATACCAGAGGGTCTGTGTCGTTACGACGACGCGTTGCCGTACGAGAATGAGGATAAGATGTTGTGGGATCCCAGCCATATATCCGAAGAAGATACGGAAGAGTTCTTGGAACGCGCGCAACTTCCGGCGGTAAAGGGTGGGTCTTTGCCGGCCGGTTCTCATATCAGGGATGACGAGCAAGCTTTGTACCTTCTGCTGCAATGCGGCTACAATTTGGAGGAGGCATTGCGAAGGCGTCGAATGAACGTACTCCCGCCAACGGATGCAGTGAGTCTCTGGTCAGAAGAAGAGTGTCACAACTTTGAATCCGGATTGCGCACTTATGGGAAGGACTTTCATCTTATACAAAAAAATAAAGTACGTAGAGAAAATAAATGTGAAGTTAAACTTTCTTAGTTATCTTTCTTTTTTTTTTAGCTACTGCTTTATTCAGTTAATTCTATATAAATTTAATTTTTTAAATCAAAATCTCAAATAAATTCTGGAATCATAAATTTTATTTTTTCTTTTATCATTACCATTTACTTAATGATAAGTTACATTGCAGGGTTTAAAGTAACAAGATCTTTGTTGCTTTCGTAGGTGAGGACAAGATCTGTTGGGGAGTTAGTGCAATTTTATTACTTGTGGAAGAAAACTGAACGACATGACATATTTACGTACAAAGCTCGATTAGAGAAGAAGAAATACGCCCTGCATCCTGGTATCACGTGAGTATTTTCTCTTTTCGATAATTTCCGAATCTTACACTAAACACGGAAAATTTGAAGCATAGACGTATATATTTCGCGACTGTTGGAAAACTAACATATCTCGATAACAACATCACCCAACTAACACACATCACAATGTAATTATTGTCGTTAATGCAATTATTGCAAGCCTGAATGACAGAACCATTAAATTGCAAGCAGGGACTATATGGACCGATTCCTCGAGGAGCAAGAGGGAGTGCGAGATCGCAGCAGTTCGCCGAATGTTCATTGTCTGTTGTACGGCGACGCCAAACGGCAAAGGTCCAGCGCCAGCGTCACCAACAACGACGAGTCCAAGTCAACGGAAGCCTGGGATGGAAACGCGGTCGATCCGTTGGCGGATGCCAATGGCCCGACGCCGCCGCCGCCACCGCCGCCTCCGCCACCCCCTCCCTTGGTGACATCAGCCACGACCACCATATCATCGTCGATATGCAACTCCAGCGCTTTAACCACACCGACGTACTGTTCATCGTCGACTCGTCATCCGGACTGTCCCTCGTCCGAATCGAGTTGCGTCAATCCGATGGCGTGGAGTGGTTTAACGTCACGGAGTCAACCTACCTCCTCCGTCATTACGACGATAACAATCAACACCACTACAGCCACTACATCCGCAGCGATGGCCACGGCCTTCGGCACGACGAATACAGTTACCACTAGCTCCACCGCCTCCCCCGTCGCCACCTCTAATAACTACTATCATCAGCGAGTGACATCATCCAGGAGCAACGATTCCCACGACACGCCCTCACCTGAGAACATTTTACCTCATCTGCCCCCTTAGCGTCTAACCCGACCTTCAGGTGTTCATCCTGAAAGGCGGCGGATGTCATTGCGTGGTGTGCCGAACTCGGCACTCACACCATCGCTATTGTCGTAACGCATAATATACGTTAATATCAAGGATTATATTTTTATACTATATCGTAATATAATTATATATATTAATCACATATAATATATATAATTATATATATACATATAATTATATATATATATATATATACATTAATCGTCCTTAGCACGAGTGCGCGATGTTGTACAGTAGTACGGAAGAAGGGAGGGCGCGCTTTCGCAAGGAAGATTAGAGCGTATATTGTACGTAAGATTAAAGATAGAATTAAAGATAAACGCGGCGAAAACGAGCGGGGGTCACCGTTAGCTTTCTCTATTTTTCTCCTCTCTACTATCTCCAGACGTAGAGATGTTCCATGTGAAAAGAAATATATATATCTCAGTTGAAAAGATTCAACAGATGCATCGACGTTTGTCGTCGGTGCATTGACAGAAAAAAAGAAATAGTATTACGCATCACGATTGCAAGTTTTCGTGAATAAATCGTTATATTGCGCGATTGTGATATAATCACACGAATCAATTTGTTTGAAATTTTCTTTGATCTCTACATCGGCAATAAAATCCCGTGAAACAATTCGTCGGTTCGAAATTTATCATCCAATAAATTGAAATGATTAATAATTCATTAAAATAGAAAATGAATGAAAATACAATCATTATTTTGATATAATGGATGCGCGATAAATAGCAATTCCAATCATTTGTTTTGGTCCCTCGTTAAGTAGTTGGCTGTGTATAAAATCATATAGTTTGTATTTTCACGTTTTCCTAGTAACTATTTAAGAAACACAAAATATTTCTAATTTACTGGATATACATTACATTATGTTTAATCATTTATAAATAGTGTTGATATAAAAGTACAGGCTAAATTAGAAACGTTGGATACTGCATTTTTTTACACTCTACCTTTCTCTCTGTCTTCTCCTCCTTTCAATACTTCATTATTTCCCTACAATTACAGCTCTCTTGCATAATATACGAAAGAATATATTATTACTTCGCGAATATTTCTCACAAAATAATACGCATGCTCTTTTGTACAACACACACGTGTTAAATTACGTATGAAAATGATCAGGCGATATGATTAAAATTTAACCTTACTAGAACTTTGTGTTGTCTTCTTTCCGCACCACATTGAGGATCTGTTTTGATCGATGAACTGTACATTAAGAGTTCCTACAATTTGAAAATATAGATTTTGCAATCGCTATCGGAATTGCGCCGAGTCCAACGATTCAACAACCGTCTTAAGCAATTTTCCCATTAATGGCAAGAACTGCACGCTGCTAACATTCGTCTTGAAGACACCAGTGGTGAGAATACTGTCGTCGAGTCTCTTCTCTCGCGTCTCAGTTTGATTTACGATCTCCGAGGAGGAGTCTTCGTGATCCGGCGAACACACCGGCGCTCTATCAATAGTACTGTTCTTGCGGAGTCTCGCCGGTAGATTCGCCTGCATCGGATCGCTCGTGTCCTGAATCGTCCTGGAGCTTCTCGTGTCCGCGTCTATCAAGGAACCCTTCACCTGCCAGATATCGGGCGTGCCGCGGTGTTCGAGAAAATCGAAGAAGATTCCCAGCTCCGTGGCGGTCTCCCGCGCGATGAGCTGACGATCTCGCGAGGCGAGTCTAGGACTTTTCACCCCTTCCAGAGCCTGAGACAGTATCAGGATGAGGTTGATCTCCAACGCTAGTCGCGTGTTGTTCTCGTCCATGGACTCGAACCACGGATCGCTGAATCTGTGATTTCTCGCGATGATCGGGCTGCCGTTGCCCGTGCCGGCAGCTCCGCCGCCGCTGCTCTTCGTCACGTGTCTACCGGTCGCCAGAGCGGTCGCTCTCGAGAGGATGGTGTTCTCGCAGATCAGCGGATCGTACGGCCGACGTACGAGCCTGGGACTGCTGAGTAACGGCACGGTGACGTCCAAACCACTGACGTATCCCAAGAATTCGCCGCCGATGTTGGGTGACGTTCTAGAGGTCGAACCTGAGGCCGCGTGGATGATTCTTCGCAGATCCTTGCTGGTGTGCATGCGCCGGAGATTCTCCGGCGCGGCGCGTTCCCACTCCTTCTTCGCGGAATCCGTTTTATCGTCCCGTCCGGGCTGCGGCGTCGAGGCGACGGACAGCGAAGTGGTGGGCTGCGAGCGGGAGTGAAGAGCCTGGGTGAACAGCTGCGTCGAGCTGATGATGGTGCCGTAGGTGAGCCGCGGACCGGAGCTCATACTCATCTGCGGCGGTCCAAAGTTCATCTCGGCCATCGGTGTGTACCAATAATCCTGAGTATATATCGTGTCCACGAGGGTGTTGAGTCGCGGTGAAAAATGCACGAAACTCAGCGCGCAAGTTGTATTTATGACCATCAGCTTGTTCACTAGAAGCTTCAGCTCGCCGCTGGGCAACCGATTGTCGCAGGACTCGAGCTCCTCGGCGCTCTCCACGCTGATGCCGTCGATGATGAATTTGAGTATCCGCGGCCGCAGCAACAGGTTCACCGTGCTGTCGTACGCCAAGTACATGCACTTGATGAGAGTCTCGCGCACGCTCGGCTGTATCGCGTTCCACACGTAAGTTTGCGTGGCAATGGCGTGGATGAGAGCGACCAGGGATTGTATCAGATCGGCGGCCAGCAGATCGGCGGTGTGTCTCAGTAGCGTGGACACGACCATCAATTGATGCTCGTGAGAATTCAGGAAAACGATCACGTGGTTAACGTACACCATGTGCATCTCGCTGGTGACGAGACCTATCAGGAACTCCAAGCCCAGCGTGTACAACGGCCACCAGTCCTGGCAACGCCATCGACCGTTCGGCGAATCATCGTACAGCGAATCGAGCATGCTGTTGCCGATGTCCGCTGGTGGAATCAAGCTCAGCCAGAGCTTCGTGATGTCGTTGCTGTTGATAGGATGCGGACAGTACGGCGAGCGCGATATAACACCCAGCAGGCTCAGAGCGGCGGTGCTGAACTTGACGTACGGATACTTCTGCAACGTGTAACCGACGCATGCCATCAACTCGGGTATCATCTGGCGAAGCTGCACGCAGCTGGCTTTCAGGCGATGCTTCAAGTTCGCATTCCGCTCGACGTACGATCGTAACAGCTGCGTAACCATGCAGATCGCTAACGTCGCCGGTAGACTTTCTCGTATACCACGCAGCGTTTCCGCACTGTGGCAAGCGGTCTTCTCCTGCGCGGCTTTCTCGTCAGTCTTCAGATCGACGGAGAGCTGCCGCTTTTGACGTTCCAGTTGAAGAGCGGCTTCCTTCATTTCCTCCAATTCGCAGATGGCGATTGTGCAAGAGTGCGCCAGGAGGTATTCAAGGCTCGCCGAGTCTTCGGCCAGGGTGCTTTTCACCAATTGCACGCATCCAAGCAGTAACGAGATCAGCGTCTGCCGCAGAGACTTTCCGAAGCCGCGATAAGTTTGCGCTATTTCTTGCGTGAGCTGCGACAGTCTGGTCTTGAATTTCCTCGAGTCGCCGACGCACATCTGCTTCCACGAAGTGATGCATCTCAGAGACAACGAAGCGAGCAGCATCGGAATCTTGCCACTGCTAGAGTCGTTGGGCGCCTTCACTCGCTCTAACAAAGACTTTAAGGCTAATTCGGTTAAGAGATGCGCTTGCGTTACGTTAATCGGATAATTTTTAGCCGTTCGATCGTCGGTGAGCATAACGATGAAATGGTACCAAGATTCTAAATTAATTTCGTACAATGGATCCATGAGTCTGTTCTGCTTCATACGTTTTTCCTCGTCGTTCTCATTCTCAACGTTTGCAGAATCGCCGAGAATGTACTCGGCTAATTTCTTCCAGTGATCTTTCGACTTGTCCAAAAGCTCTTTCAGATTCTTCGAGAAATTATTCTCCAGTAATGGACTCTTGTACAATTCCAGTGTGATTACATCCAACAGTTGAGAATAACCCTTCGCATCTCGGACCAAAGTTTTGAAAAGCGGTGCGAACAGGTGACTCCAGAACTTCTCTCGCTTGCGAAAGAAATTGACGAGGATCTCGTTTCTGTAATACCACATGGCGCGTATTACCGTCATCGTGCTGTCGTACAATTTATCGCACACGATATCATCTTCTTTGTACATTCGTTCCAAGTATAGATTCAAGAATTGACTGCAGCCTTCTCTAAGGAATTCATCGGCCGAACGTGGGAAAATTCTCTTGCGTTCCGCTTGGTGCATGATGTTGAAGAGAGCTTCCGTTAAGCCGGGCTGTTTCTCCAAGCATACAGCAACCAGTTCCAAAATAGCGACTTTAACTTCTATCGCACATGTCGGCAGCGTCAATCGGAATGCGAAGGTTTCTCGTATAGAGGTGCCATCCATTCCCATGCAGACGAGCAGAGACATGGAGAACTCCTCCGCGAATTTCTTCAGTAATCTAACTGCCATTTTCTGTAACGAAGGACTGAACCAAACGTACAGATAGTTAACGATGGTTGGTACTATCAAAAGTCCGTTGGGCACCCTCGGAGAGGAATACAATGCGATCTCGAGGGGCGATCTGTCGCCAAGTTCAAGACCCAGAGATTTCCGAAACATCAAAAGTCGATTGACTATCGACAGCGCCAGTTCTACGGTCTTGATATTCTTGAATCCTTTTCCACTGATCCAATCCGTCTCCGTGATCATTTTACTGTGCAATGTGCGCTCGCCCGTCCGGAGTAATTTCAGCAGCGCGTGACGTGGTTCTAAATAGAGTAGACTGTACACAACAACGAGTTGCAATTCGTTGCGGATGTCGTTCTTGGGCAACGTCGAGTCCAGAGCGCGATGTATGCAGAACATACTCTTCAGCCATAAATCGATCCGTTCTGCGTTCGATTCGAAGTACCAGGAGTCCAATTTAGGCAACACAGCTTGCAAGAGAAATACCATACCCGGTATTTCGATGGTATACATAGCTTCTTTACTGTGCTTAGTGATTAGATAATTGTACAATGTGTCCAGAAACGCGCGCAAAATGGGATAAGTGTGCTCGATCGTTTCTATTCCTTGACAGCCATGATGCGACGAGACCACCGTCGAAGGAGATTGCTTCCGCGAAGTCCAAGGGTTTTTGATACCAGTTATTAAATCTCGGGTAAATGCCAGATCGCATTCGCGAAAGAATATCTTCGGGGTATCTCAAAACGAGTTTCGACGAAATACTAATGCATACGGCGACGATTCTGTATAAATTCGTCGGTAGCACGGGATACGAGAATCGATTGATGATTTCGAAACTTAATTCTGTCGGAGTGACCATGTTCAACGGTATCTCAATGTCTTTAGCCACTAATGCTTCCAACAATTTTAAGCCCTGACAAACGTTTGCTGGCAAATCAGTCTTCACTGTGCTGATGTTTGCGATTCCGCCGCTTGCTTGAGAAAATAACAGCTCTATTTTGTGATGCAAGGCGTTCCAGTAGCTCGCTCTTGTATGAAACAACACTAATTCCTTTTCGTTGGGTAGCACGGTGATATTCTCGTGCACACAGTAGCAGGATATAGCGAACGAGTTCTTTTGAATTATGCAATCCGCTTCGTAAGGTTTGTACGGCTTGTTGTCATCTCTTTTGCGAGGAACTTCTATAGTCAGTGATGGTAGATCATCTAATTCCTGAGCGATCTAAATAAAAAAAATTAATTATTTACGTGATAAACATTCTATATTTGATGAAAGAAATTGAATAAACATAAATTAATCTCGTATATTACCTTTTTAGCGCTTGTAACGTTTGTGGATGCCAAAGCAATAGCTATACTGGTTAACGGTTCAAACTTGTACGGATATAATTGTATGGCAACTTTATAAATCGGCCATAAACCGTCGTTTCGTTCGCTCCAAAATCTGTCTGCGCACTCTGCAAACTTGACTGTAGCAGCCATAGCATCGAAAATACCATTCAGAGTGCTCAATCGATCCTCGTCGATGAATTCGCATAACAAAGCGAGAAGATTGTAAACGCTGCTCCGCGCAACTTCAGCGTAGTGGGTCTCTTCTTGAAACATTTCGCAGCTCATTAAATCCCGAAGGTAATGAAACACATCGAGTTGTATGGCTTTGATGCCAAACGGTCTAAAGCGATTTAATGTGTCCATATTATCCGGGTCAATCGCATAATTTGCCAACATCCACGATAGAAGCAACGGTCCATCCTGTGGCGAATTTTCACGGACACATTTGTGCTCAAAGATGTCTTGCATACTGCTTTTAACAACACTTATCCAATCTTTCATAGCAATGCTAAAATAAAAAATACAAAAACAAAATAAGAAGACACTTATAGAAATAAAATTATTAATATGTAGGTTTTTTTAATTATACAAAAAATATAATATAATTCTGTTAACGTACTGTTTGTTCACATCCAATGCCACAAGGATTAACGCTATTTGACTGTATTGTATCTCTTCGATCTTTTTGGTTATAGCTTCTTTGTCTTCATGGCTTTTTGTACTTGCTAAACGTCTAGGTTCACCCTAAAAAAATTTTGTATGTATTATTTAAGTGAAATTTTTATTGCTCTTAAAGTATAAAATCTTTTTGAACATTAATATGTCTTACCCCAATGCTTCCATAGAACTTGGAGAATTCGTGGTCAGTAATATGAATATCATGTACAATCACAGTCAAGATATGAAGCAACTCACGCATTTCAATTAAAGTACTATTGTACAATCTATGCAAATGTTCTTCTGTACAGAATTGCGACCGCGTAGGTGGATTTACAAATTTCAATGCTTCTATTTGCTTACGCACAGATTCAAGCAAGTTTCCCATCAAAACTTCATCAAAAAATTTTAAAAATTCCTTATGATGAGGATGTCTTTTGTTATCTTTATATTCAATCATAAGCTTGAGACATTTTATCAAGGTTACTCTCTCAGAGTAATAAAAATTCCAAATATCATCAATTAAGGCTTTTATAGAAGTATGATCAGAGAGCTGCGATGCAAAAGTCTCTGCACAATTTCTATATTCATATGATACAAAATTACATACTAGATCCCAGGTAATTGTAGCATCTAGATTCTAAAACAAATAAAAATTGTGTCATGAATATTACTGCATAAAACTATTACAATAAATTATGATGTACAATAAATGTTTTGATTTTTATTTGCAAATTTGTTCCATAAAATAATACTTACAAGAAGTGGAGCAAGTTTGCTAATCAAATCAAACATCTGTTGGAGAGGAGGAGGATTCCTTTTGGAAATACTCTGTAACGATGCGTCTGTAAAAGGCTTAAAGAACTGAAGCCCTTCTTTGAGCAAGACAGTTCCATTTTTTATTTCGTCTTCAACGGTCTCTTTGGCACAACAACATGTTGTGCCTGATATTATAGACCATAAATCCTTGCTGCAACTGTTTCAAAAAAGTTATCATTACAAGACTATTATTTCATAAACTAATAAAACCATCCATAGAGTGTTGAATGGAAAAAGCATATGGAAAAATTAATATTAACATAACATTGGCAGAGAATGTTTCTGCTCTTTACATATTCAAAATATATACTACTTGGATCAAATAATTGCAAAAAATAAATTAATAACGTAAAATATAAGGTACTCTATATACTTACGGCAAGTTTCCCATTGGAGCCACTTCCATATTGAGAGTATTATTATTATTATATAAGAAATCGTTTATAGCTCTCTAAATAAGTTATACGTTCGTAAGCACAAATATTTCCTATTTTCCAGTTTTAATAGTTTATCAATACATGTAGGTGCCAATAACGTACATAACCTTACTTTGGACATTGGCGGGTAATATTCGGAACATTCGGAACTCACCGTCATTAACCGACCCGTTAAACCTGCATTCATATTCTTACAGAAGAGAGGAAACTGATAAAATTTTTTTCATATACAAATGTCACTAAGTAAGAGACCGACCAATAGGAATTGATTTTTCGAGTAATCCAAGCTAAGGAAACGATGAATGCAATATTTTTTCTAGAGGTGGCGCCACTAAGCAGACCTGACTGTTGCAAAATAATATGCATTTTTTACGTTTGAATTTTTAGTCTATTCGCGCTTTGCAACGATGGACGATGAGATAATAATCGTACCGGTATAATCATAGTTAAGTTACTAATAATGCATCCTCCTTATTTGACGCTTAATCATACTTACAATATTTTTACTCTGTTAACGAATTATGATATATTTTTAACATTCTAATGTGACAAACCGGCATAACAGCCTTGTAGGTACTCTTTGTATCTTCCAACTTCTCTGTAGAAAATCCGCCATTTTTTCTATGTAGAAAAGTAATGATAAAACGGTTATAATTACGATTTCGAAATCTTAAGATCCTCATATTATAGATAGAGAAAAGAATAATACAGAAATTACAATTAATTATACGCCAGTTATTAGATACATGGCAATATGTCCACTTAGTATAGATATATTTCACGCATCGAATCTCAGCAAAGCATCATAGCCGTTCGAGCTGTATGAACAAATTAGCTTTCTCTTGGAATATATATTTTCTTTGTCTTTAATACTTTTTAAGATACTGCAGAAGAGAAAGCTCGGGTGAAAACATCATAATGGTTGATGCTATATCATTTTAGACAATATGAAGCTTTGTGAGCGATTTTTCTTGTCCGCTTGAGAATTTTGTATTATGTTATTTTGCTGAATAATTCAAATAGAAACAAGACACGTCTTTTATAAATTTACTATATTATATAAAAAAAGCTTTTTAGAACATTATTTTACAACACATTATTAGAATAATAAATTTAATATTTTTTATGTATTTAAAAATCATATAAAATTACAAGAAAATTATTTTCTTCATAATTCGTCACTAAGATTTTAGATATTATTCCATTTCTACTACATTTATATTTTTACAAAAAATAGTTAATTTTGTTGATTAAAATTTACTCGGCATATAGCGCCAAGTAAAAGAAACTGTTATTATAATTTTATGAAGTCGGTTAATGAGAATTGATGTTCATATTTTAGGTGTTGCTGCTGAATAGAATTTAGCTGAATTCTGCTACAGAATGATACGAGTTTTTCTTCTACGTGAATTCCATTTATTTGCACCAGTGCTGTGATGAAAAGTTGTCATAATCGTCTTTGTAATTCATATATCGCATTTATTTTACAAGGTAAGTTTAGTTATAATTACAATATTCTTATTTATTTCATAAATTATTTCATATATTTTTATATCATAACCAGTATAATTGCTATGTATATTTATTTGTATTTTTCAATCTGCTATTTTTACCATTTAAAAAAGAATGACAATGTTATGATAAAATGACTGCAACTACAATTTCAAAACATTCATATTTTCATATTATATACAGAATAATAAACAACATATATTACAGAACAGACAGAATAATAAACAATAGAAATTATAAATAGTTCACATAATTATTTAAATTGCAATTTGTATTGCTTTTAAACAAAATAGCATTGTAAAAATTATACAGATAGAAAAAATAATGTGACTAAAGAATCAATTTGAAAACTAGTATTAGCTAATCTTTTACTGAAATACATTTTTTTTGTTTTTAATAATTTTTAAAGTACACAAAAATAAAACTTGAAGATAAATACGCTATATATATTATTTTTTAAACAATACAAGACTGTGAGCGGTTGGTTTCATCCTCTTGAGAATTTTATTTTATTTTACAATATGATACACTTGGATGATTGAATATGTATGTTTTATAAATTTGCTATATTATATTATATGAGAAGAATGCTTTCTAAAATATTACTCGACGATACATTATCAGAATGATAAAATAATTTATATATTTTCTGGTAATATTTTAAAAGTTATAAAAAAGTTTTTTTTCACAATTTGCTAAGATTGAAAATCACAAAATGCATATTTAAATAATACAACATTAAATGATAAATACTTTCGTTATTATTTAAAGCTAGTTTTTCTTTGGCTGTGAATTTATGATATGAACGATATTAAGTACAAGAAATTAACAAAGTTTGCGCACAATTAAAAATGATCGATCAGAACACTTTTACCACTCATGGTTACAATTTCCATTTTTATTTTGCATCTCGTGTCCAGTATATATACGTTGTTTAAAAAAAAAAGGATCTGGATGAACAATAGCCTCTATCCAGTAAATATTAGGGGCAAGTTACGACACATAACACGTGCGGGAGAAAAATTACTCGCGAGAGCGTGAGATGAAGAGGGCGAATGTTATTGCACTACGAGTTTCGTTCGCGCACATTTATCACACTTAGGATCCACGACTCGGCCAGAAGAACGTTGACAGTTGGCCTCATCCACGAGATATTACCGGGTATTAGACAACACGCGATTCGCGGAAACGCTATAAGTGGGAATGTACACTGTATCTTGCGTGGAGGTAGCGACACGTTTCTTTAAGTGTGCGTAGCAGCTACTGGTCTATTTTATAATTACCACTAACAATTTGCGAGGTCAAATATATATCCTATCATTCTTAGACTATTTTAATTTTTCTAATAGATTATATTATCACTTACATAGATTGCGAAACTTATGATTATATGTCGGATAAATGCAAATTAGGTTATAAATAAATTAAATTAAATAAGTTGAATTAATTAATTATTAAAAGAATTACCAGATAGATATAAAAAGTAAGAAGGATAGAAAAATAAAATATAAAAAGTAGATAGTTTTTAATTATTATTGTTTTCGTGTTATTATTTAAATTATGCTTGTAACTCTGCACGAGAGAAGCTATATTTTCGACGATATTATCGTGGGAAAAACACGAAGCGTTTAAAAAAATAGTTAATATTCATAGATCAGTTGGCTCCGCAATTGTTATTAGTTACAGCGCTATTGTTGCAAGCTTCCGAGTTGTTCGCCGGTATAATATATCGATAGTATAATATAACGGTAGATAAATTCGCAGCACGCAACCGCCATAGCGCTAATTAACTCTTTAACAACACCGCCAATTAAAAATCATGAACTGACAAACGGGGAAAACTCACCTGCGGGAAAGCGGCGGCCAGCGATCGTGTGTCAGAGCGCCGACGCGGACGCGCGCCGCGACGCCGGGCGCCGCTTCGGAGATGCTGATCACCACTGCGGCCAGTGCACGTTCGTCTTGAACGCGGGGCGTTTCGCGCATTCTCGTTGCAGCTACGCTGCCGAGTGCTTCGTCGGGCGACACTGTGTGCACGATGTCAGTACGACGTGCGTGACGAGAGAAAAGCGAAAAAAAAAGACTGTCGCGCGATTGCTATGCGAATCGTCGAAACAAAAGTTCTCGCAAATTGATTGAATCTTTTGGTCCCTCGATGCCGGCAACAATTTTTATCTTTTTCTCTTTTCTTTGACACTATTTGAATCATTTCACGCGTTCCAATCGTGTGCTGATTTGAAACGCGTTAGCGTTCCTCTTTCTCGGTCACTGTCGTAAATATTCTGCCAATAACTTCGTGTTAACGCACGATTTTGATTGCGACCGGCAATATGCTGGCCGTACAGGCGTTCGATCTGTAACGCAATTCTGTAACAGGTGATACGTTACTTCTCTGTAAGTGCAATAGCTTGTTCGCGACGGATCTAACGCGAGCTCTTCCATGCGCATACGTGCGAATGTCACACCGATACGATTCGATTCTCAAAGTGCTTAAGGGAATTGCGTTATTTTCGGGACGTGAAATTGCCACCGACACATATCCTCATATCTTCGCAAAATCTTTGTTACATCGCTTCGCACTTGTTGCTATTAAAATTCACTTACCATTAAACTTCGAAAAGAAAATTTCATGATATTTCTTAGAAGCGAGAAACAACGCATTGTATCTCTTTGTATTCTGCAACAGCTGCACTCGCGTATAACGCGATTCGCATAATCTTCGTATAATCTGTCGCGTTTCTTGTTACTCTCTCTGTTAATTCCGTCAGGAAATACACGAGAGGCGTGTGCTCTCTTTTGCGCGTTTATGTAAAGGAAAGGTAGATTTTCACGCTTTCCTCGGCGATGCCTCAAAATACACATCGCGTATTTTGCACAGCAATGCGGATATTCGGCGCATCTCCGCGTCGAGATACATGTTCCCGTGTAATTTCAGCATGCCGCAAGTTTAGCTAGCCCGGTGCTCAACAACTTTTTGATGCGTTCTACTTTATAGTGCGCTTTCACGCTGTGCAGTATCCCTGAGATAAACTATCCCTTGTCCTCTAGGTTGCAATATGCACTTCATTGTGCGCTATTATATTGTACGAGTTCTTGGATAAACTGTTCTCTGTACAGCAATTGGTGTAGCTCGGGTTGCTCTTGCGGTTTTCACATTTCTCGTCCAAACGTCATTGTGTTTTTCCTAAACCGGAAATTAATTTTACTTACTGCACTATATATGTAGCAAGAATCATCTACAATTTTTTGTTTGAATATGTGATATGTTTATGTCAATATCTAATATAATTTATACATTTTTGAATTTTATCGTTCAGGATTTCGCAAGGTTTTTATTAGAGTGAAAAATACATGAAGAATACATTGAGAAAGTATTCGATTCGATAACTTTGGATATATTATTAGCAATGTGAAGATACTTCACTCGTTTAATGTATCCTTTAAGCTATTTAGTTTCTTCGTTCTTTGCCCTTTCAAAGCGCGTTCGATTGGATCGATTATGGTTGAATATCTTCTTTCAGTTTTGAAAGCAGTTTTGAAATAACATATTACAATCGCAGATTTTTTTAAGCACACCACATACAGTTTCTATATATAATTAATTTTTGAAACTGCAAATATACCAATAGACGTTTTCGTTTCATTTCTCGTTTTTTCCCTTTGCAGTTAATCTTCCCAAAATCCCGAGCTATTATTAGCTTGAGATATTTTTGACGAGGTATACTTCCAGTGACGTAATATCCGCGATTGCTATCCTTCCCATCTGGACATCATTCCAATAAAATGGGTGTACGCGACAACCTGGCGAATCGCGAACGGTGAAATGTAGATCGGCGCATTTTTCTTCGCGCTTCTCCGGACATTATTCAACGACGCGGCGGCTGCCAGACATCGTGATCCTCGCGACAGCGGTCTCGGCTCGGCACCTCCTTATCGCATAGAAAATAAAGGAGCCCGTTATCGCGCGCGTGTGACAAATCGAAGATCGTATCGCGTCTTGGCGCGAATCGTCACTCCGCGATGTGGAATTGAGCGCGATGGACATCCTCGTGTTCGGCTCGTAATTGTGCCGGGGTGATATTGCGACGGGCGAGTATAGAGAGAGAGAGAGAGAGAGAGAGAGAGAGAGTATACACGAGGAAAATCGGCGGTGCAGCCGTCGAGAGGACAAGAGCAAAATGAGGGCCCCGTTCCTCCTCTTAGGCGGCATTGTCGTACTGTCGCTCGCGGTGGCGAGGGCTCTCTCGTGTGTGTGCTCGCCGCTTGAGTGCGACGTTCTCACCGACGAGGACTGCCCCGGAGGCCTCACCTGGGACCCCTGCAGGTAGGCGTTTATCCTCGCCGCTAGATAGAAACCTCAAAGCGAAGTAGCTCGATAACGGAATACCACGCAAGTTCCTCGCAAATGCGCTGGCCATTTATGTGAGCCGCCTTCCCCCCCCCCCCCCCCGTTTGGAAGACACTTTAGTAGGATATTAGCGAGTACGGGCTTATTATCTTAACTGGGCGATTCTATCAAGCGCGCGGTTCCAGAGCGATTCAACTATTTGCTAATACGCGATAAGATTGGACAAGAAATTTATACCGCGCGTGGGAAAATAATGCTGATTTCGGTAAATTTTGAGGAATTGAAAAAAAGGAAAGAGAAAAGACTGTTTTAGAATTTCATCGCACAACTCTCAGTGCACTACATGTGATATCTGTATAATAATTACCACTGCGTCTTCATTTTGCCGCAAGAATGCCTTTCCATATTGCGCAAAAGCGTAATTTTCAATTTGCTTCTCAAAAGTCAGTCTCTTTGTGTTTCGCTGCGAAAGTTGTCTTCCACTGCGTGTTGTAATTAGTTCCGAGTATAGCGAGCAATTAAAACACGTGCTGCAATAAGGTCCGCTACCTACATTCTTTTTTTTTTCGAGGAGTATAGAAAAAAACCGCATGCCTTTGTTATTCATCCACCTTTGTGCGCCTCATGCACGAATTACGTTTTCGCGTTAGCGACTCATTTGCAGAAAATAGTGCGGGCAAGCGGACGTGCCGCCAGGTAAACCGGTGCGCGTTGAGAAAGGGTTGAATGCGCTAAAGGCCGCTGCGCAACCCCTGAAATGTTCTATTATACGATAACGTTCATCGATGTGCTTCTATCTACGTGGCCGACATGCTGCGAGAGATCCATGCCCTTGGGTCTATTTTCGCCCACGCGCACGGCCGCGCGGGCATTGTTACGCTATTGCATACACACACAGACACACATATCCGCGCTGTACAGATTTCGAAAGCGAGGTGGGTGATATGCACCTGAGTTTTAGGTGCGCCGTGTTTTATGACCCGTACAAACAACCTGATGCAAAACAGGACAGTCGCGTAACTTGCAACTGCGGAACATTAAGAATAATGTAATAATAAGTTTAAATGTGTGAGTGCGAGAATTTTGCTTAAGTGTAATATAGAACCACAGAACCGAGGAAAATTTAAACAATTGCGCGACCTAAGGAAACAGCGTATATTATAACGTTATAGTAGCTGTAAACGCTTATTGCACGCTGAGTTTTACCGCCGTAGTTTATATTCATCTCGTCAATTTGTCTGAAAGGAAATAACATTATCATTAATTATTATTAGTAAAATAAGAGCCGCGTTAATGGGGGGGTGTAAAGCGCAACTTATCGCGATATACGATCATATTGCGTGATAAAGCGCGTTAACTCGCGGACCATAATCTTTACGAGTATTATCGCCTTTTTAGCGTAAAAGCGAACAAATACAAGCATATCCTCTTTAACAAATATTTGTGAGGAAAGTCCCAAGATAAATTCTAGCTCGCACGAGGGCGCGTATGAAGCACGATCGATGAGTGGCATCGTACAAGTACGTGATAACAATGCATTTCAAAATCAGATTGATGCACGTGGATGGCTCATTGTTAGTATTTATATAGGGCGAAGTAGGAAAACACAATATTGCATCGGCGACCAACGTAACAGAATGCGAGACACTCTATTTATTACAGGAAATAATGTGGTAGGATGTTGAAAGAGTTGCGTGAATTAATTCTTCTCCTCGTAATGAACATGCGAGAGTAAATGTCACGTTATTTGGTTTAATGAAAAATAAGTATTTTTTATCCAAATAAGATATATCACACAGCAAGTTTTAACAAACATAATTTTTCATAAAAGAGCTAGAAATATTTCCAGGTCAAAGTCAAATTCGGATTGTGACTTTATTTTTAGTCATAAAATTTCTACAAGAGAGCTTATTGTTACTTATTTCGATCACAAAGTGATATCGATTGTTTTTATATTTAGCCACAAATATATGCAGATCAAAGATTAAATTTTTCTAAACACTCGAAGTTTCGAAAAGAGTTGTATCATAAAAGCGATAATATCTTTGTACAAATCCATGTAGGTCGATCTTGATTAGATATCTGTTAGACGCACCTACAAGACAATTATGATGATTCACACACCTCGGCCACTTTGGTCAGACGTATTACATAATACGCAATTAGAAAGTCTTTCATCTTTTCTTTTTTGTATTCGCAAGTAGTAGGCGGATGAAAACGGTTCTTGAAGAACCGCGGTGCCTCTCGCAGCCATTCGAGGCGTTAGAAATGTGCGGTAAGATCGGGATTTTTCTTTTTCACTTTCTTCCTCCGGGCGGCTCTTTAACGATCGAGAAAGTTACTTGTGAGATGAACAATTTCAACGTAATTGCTTTTCAAGTGCGAGACAAAGATTGATGCCCGCGCGAGAATCGAATAAGAATCGCGTCGGATTGAGAATTGTGAATTGAGATCGGGCTGTGAATTATGCGTTAGATTAAATCCTTGAATGGGAGACGCGAGCGAGAATTTCGGCCGTGAGTGAAACATAGGCACTGGTGGGGAATATTATTGACAAATCCTCGTGATATTTCGGATGGTTTACTCGTACGATACTGGATCGCGAAAGCGGATTCCTCGTAAAATTCATACGCGACCATGGAAAATCTTCGTACGCAGTCTAAAAGCTTGTCCGCCGAGCATACTGCTTTTCAACCGCTCTCCGCGTAGCCGAAGCATTATTTCGCCCCGCATATATTTCTTCGGTATCTCAGTCTACACACAATACAATCGCGCGCGTCGATACGTACAATATGCTGATTCGAAAACGTCGGAACTGAATTTCAAAGGGAGCGACGCGCGTGCGGGGAAATAGAGAAGGAATTCTCCGAAGTGGCCTCGGACAGTTATAGCATCTTTCCCGAAGGACCTTTGCGAATTCAATAGGTGTACCTAACGTTTATTGCGCTGTGGAATTTCCTGGGCGGGAAGTTCTTACAGGAGTCTCGGCGATTCAGAGAGGCTGGCTGCGGCCGCCAACAAACGTTCGATGTGTTATCGAAAGTCGGGTAGTTTCGAGATAGTTCGAAGAGGAAAGTTATATACGTCGAATTCTCCCGTACGGCGGGAGTATCGTTTTATGCAAATTTTCCGAGGCTCGACGAGATGTGTCGTTGCAGCAACAGGCAATACCGCGCATCATATCGGCGACGTGACGGTGAATTGTCATTAAAGATGACATCGATATTACGTGCGTTACATTTCTATGCCTTCCTGCATACCGCATTATTTCGTTTATGTATACGCGATATCAATATCGCGATACCGCGCTAGATATGTACTCTGCGCGATTCTGCGGACGCAATCTGCGATCTGCGCGATAGTTGTCTGTGCGTAACGCACTCCAATGAAACTTCTCCCGTTCCTCGTAAACTCTCGGTGTAACGTTAAATACTGTTTCAGACTGTTTGGAATCTGAATCTCCCGTGTCGTCGTCTCAATTATAGTTTCAACCAGTTCAATGTACTGTCGCGTAATCGCGAATCTCGTCGAATGTAATTTTATCGCTTCGCGTCGAAAAAAATTACATCACCACGATTTTAGTAAATTATTGTAGAAACATTCATTTTTTCATCTTACATATCGAATAATCTCTGATGTATTTTGTAATAATTCGTAGATCTACATTGTTTCCGCGATTAGAAACTTATGTTCGGGAAAATCGATGACATGCTATTGCGCCTTTTTTCATGAAATAATGACGGTGTACATAACAGGAAGTGGAACTTCAGCGGTGTATCAGGAATTTATCGGAAAATATTTAGCAGCTATAGACATTATCTACATTTATATTGTCAACGAGTTGAATAACAATACTTTAATCCTTCAGCTCTTTTTTATTTTCTGAAAATTAACGAGCATTCTTGTTATTCATATTTTATAAAGGTACATGTCACAATTGTCACGCACAGTGTTTCACAGTTTTTGTAGTAAAGTTTTCACTTATCATAATAACGTTTAGAATTTTAATACCATTTTATGCCAGTTTTTATGCCATTACCCTTTTAAGCGAATAACAACGCAAAACAGGCGCATAGGAAGCCATAGCTATCTTCCATGCTATCTTCCAATCCATTGTTATAAAGACTTTTCGTTTTTCCATGCGATATAACCGAAACATTTACGGCAGTAAATGGGTGATATATATTTTGCATTGTTGCACTTGGATTATTTGATTTATTCTTTACGTGTGGTTTGTGTATATCTGTGTTGAAATTTTGTAACTGACAATCTTTCGCATTGGAAAGAATGTAATTAACGCTGTACAATCACGTTATTACGTTTAATTCTCATTATAACGCATACCATTATCCTTGCGGGATAAAATACGCGGAGAAAAATGATATTGCTACTTTTGAGATTTAGCGGAAATAATGGAGAATATCGAAATACGTCTCTCGAAAAACTGATCAGAAAGTTGAACCACTGGTGAACTTTAAAATACAATGTTAAGGTATTAGCAGGAATTAGTGAATACTATTCAACACGTTTGCTGTCACATATCTACTAGTGATGTATGATGGACACGAGACACACGCTTATTATGATTGTAGATCACTGGCGGCTAAAAACTCGACGTAAATACGGTCAATAAGTTTCACTGTCAGTATGCCATTGTTATAAATATGAGACAACGTATTATTTGCGTGAAAGCGCTTTTCACTTTGAGATTTTGGCCGCTTGGTAGCTGTTATCTTATATAATGATTGTCAAGTCAATAATGTAGAATTATTATTTATATTAAAGAAATCTCTGGCTCATTGCTGGCCACCGTCGCTGTTATGTGAATTAGGGATTGCCTGTCGGAACAAACTACGCTTTTCTTCTTTACCGCATGCAAAGACAAATGCATAACTAACTGAGTACATTATTCTCTTTTTCTAGCATATCTATTCTAATTTATCATCATAAGAGCACAATGATATTAATTAATGACGAGGAATATAAGCAGAGCGTGTTTTTAAATACAGTAAACCATATTTTTCATATTTATCGAATTTCTTGAATAAAATTAAAATTAAAATTTCGTGGAAAATTCCCTTCAATTGAAATTAATATAATTTATAATATCGTCGATTGTATTATTGTAATATTATTCTTTATGATCTCTTTCTAATATCAATAATAACGTTACAAAATATGATCATATTTCGCTATGTATCATCTTTTGACCCTCCGGATATATTACTTTCTTTCTCATGAGTTACGTTCTTGCGTCATATAAAAATGTGGAGGACTGAAGGGCACATAGGAGTAGATTGTTTTGCGGAAAGCGGCTGCGGACGTAGAAGAGGAGAAGAAGACTCGTCTCGTCGCTCCGCCGTCGCTGCCGAGACAACGTAATAAAATTCCTGGTTGCAGTTGACAATTTTCCGCGAGATTATTTTCCGTGCGGTGCACCGCAGGCTGCGCCTTGAAATTCCTTCCGTTCTTTTTTTCCACCAGAACTTCGTAAGACTATGCTCCCGAGCTGCTGAGCATGCTGCGCGCGAAAGTGATATGCACTTGCATAATACGTAGAAGCTCCTCAATTTCTTACATCTCGATTCAAGTCAAGTTTTTCCCCGAGATAAAAATGCAAATATAACCGCACCTGCACGAGGATTTACACATCGGATTGTAAATCTCGCGGTGATATTTCGCGGAAATGCAAAGCCAGCTTGCAGAGACAAATGTATCTCCTCAATGATTGTAGATATTGCTGAAGTCAATGCAATATTGACTGAAGATAATTGTAAATATATTTTTATATCGTCGCAATTCCGATTTATGATAAATATTGAAGAACGTTAATTTAATAACGAAAATATAGATTCGAGCTCACACATAAAACTGATAATTAAAAGAATTATTAAAATGTAAAAAAAATACATATAAATTTTGAGATTTTTACATTTACACAAAATTTATTCCATTTTCAGTTTTTATGTACTTGCTACACAAAATTGTTATGCAAAATTTTTCTTTTCTCACGAACGTAATGATAGGCTAACATCATTTGAGAACTAATGGGCTTACGTTATTGTCTGCCAGTATCCAGCCGCTTTTGAAAAGAGGCACAGACAAAATCGTTACCTTTTTGTCTCGCGAACGTAAGGAAGATATAAAGCTGTTATACAAGATGCGCTTTATATCTTTAAAGCGTTTGTATCCTCTTGTCGCCCGCAGGATTTCTTACAAGAGGAAACAAATGGCCGTATTCGAATCGAAGCGAACTGGTTCGCCGCAATGCACATACTGCTGCTTGTTCGTTTCGTCTATCGCAACGTTTTATATCGTCGGCAACAATTTTCCGCTGCTCGTTTTTCATGAATAAAAAAAATAACAGATTGAGCCTCGGTGATTCTGGTATTCAGCTCTCAGGCGCAAGAGCTGAATATATGTATCTCTAATACATGAACACCGGGGCGAACAACAATAGCAGTGTGTGCTAATAATACATTTGTTTATATCGCGTAGGAACCGACTCACCTCCTTTCTGTCGTCAACATGTGAAAAATACGAGTTTGAATCGACGACGAAAATTAATTAAAAACTTTCTCTCTCAATCATTCTAATATTTTAAACAATAGAAGATACGCCAAACACATATTAAACATCGAAGATATATATAATCTCACTATGCGACGTAAAACTGCATGATATACGCAGTGGTCTAATTATAACTTTCCGCTCGAGTTATTTTATTAGCTTGAAGCTGCCTGTCGCGTAAACTGACTTGATTTGTGTATCGAGCGTGTTCGGTATGGCTATATTTTTCCTAGACATATATAAAACGATTGACCGAGTTTTATGTGTTTGCAGGTGTTGCAAAGTATGCGCGCGCGTGGAGGGCGAGCCTTGCGGCGGTCTCTTCGGTTTTTCGGGGAGCTGCGCTGTCGGTCTGCAATGTGTAATCATGAATCTGCTACCCCGCAGCCGAGAAATGGACGAGGGTGTCTGCACGAGTGAGTATTTACAATGGCATTTTGATCTAAATTGAGATTTCTAAACGATACGAAGGGCCCCATGAAAATCAAATGTAATCACTTATGTCGAGAGCTGTTTCGAATTCCCCGAAATACAGTTACAACACCCATAAAAATGCTAATAAAAACACCCTTGATATGCAAGGGTGATATCACCTTCGTTGCAAATTTACAGCGAAATATCAATCGCTAGTGAAGAAACTTAGAATTTTCTAATTAAAATTACATTGTATTAAAACTGAAAACTGAAACGTGACATTCGTATAATTCTTGATTTCATTATGTTTCATTAATTCTGAATATATTTCAAACATTTATGTTTTCACGATTCAAAATATTTATTCTTTTCGCGCCGATAATGCCGGTTTTATTGTAATTCCCGGAATAACGAGGATTACTCGTATATTTCTCACAGTATATATTGTATATATATTCGCGCTAAATGTACAGAAATAATGCGGTGATTGTTTCGTCGGGAGTAGAATGTAGTGCCGTTCGTATTTAATAAGCGCAAAATCGACAATAAATCTCTGTGTAAAACGTTCTCGCACACATACGCGTCGCTGTGATTACACTACGAACGTTGTTTCATCGTCTCTTTCGGTTTAAACTCGGTGTTACGCGCTATTCGCGGGGATAATTGGGCAGCTCGATGCGAGAGGGAACTAATCACGAATGACGGATGACGATTACACAGTTACTATTTCACAATTTTAAGCCGCGCGTTAACTGCGCGGCCAGCATTGATCAACTAAAACCGCAGTTATTTTGCATCTAGCAATCGATAATCGGGAGATGATAAACACGTTGAAAATTCATGTATATTTTACATGATTAATTGAGCGTATGGAAATCCGTAATATTGGGCTCATATATTGTTTATTGTTTCCCTTTGTCGCGTCCATACACTTTATCTTTTCCGATACGCGGCAAGGTCAGGTCATGTGGGATAATCGAGGCCGTTGGTTATCTGGAGCGACGTAATGATAAAATCAATATAGTTATTTTAAAATAATTAAAAATTCAGTTTATTCAACGGTCGCCGTGCTCCCTAAACTTGATAATTTATATTTCCCCGGTAATATCAATCCAAAGCAAATTCTAAAGTTTGAAATTTCGCGGTATTAATATTCCGTGGCGCGCAAACCACGCTTATAATTTATATGAAACAGGCGACAGTTGTATGAGTGATATTCCGCGCGACATATACATATTAGAGTACATCGCGTATTGTAGTCGGTTTATTACCAACGCAGACGCTATCCTCTTCAAATCGACGATGTCGCTTCTGTATGTCCGCGCGACTTCCTCCGCCTGCTCGAATTAAAAAAATGTTACACAGCGGTCGAGGTCACGCGGAGAAGGATCGCGCCTTCGTAGTTCTTGGAACTTGGACGGGACTCTCGAAATGGAAAAGTTAGTTTAGGCAAAGTCATGTTTGCGTGAATACATTACTTTTCACTTAGAAATTTTCCGCCCGCGCCTCGTACGTGCCAAGTATTAACTCCGTTTCTGCCCGAAGTGGAATACCGGTTCATTGTCAGTTCACCCGAATGCTCGCGACACGCGCACAAGTTGCTTCGAGAATTCCTCTGTTGGTTTAAAAAAAAAAAAGTTACTCACAGCTGAATGGTTCAATTATGATATTCTGTGATTGAATTGCGACTGCGTTCGTCGCTGAAATTTTCTTTACCTCCTTTATGATATTTTCTGCGTTCTGCGAGTAGCGGCAGTTTAGTTTTCTTTCGTGTTTACACGCCTGAAACAGATAAGCCACGTGAATAACCTTAATGCAAGGTTTGCCGTAGTAGTCAGGTCGAAACACATTAAGGTATATTGCATGCCATCATATCTCTGTCTTCCTACTTTAAAAGTGATAGAGCCATGCACCTTGATCTATGCATTATTACTCATCGCTATCGTTGGGGGAATGAAAAATTCAAGTATTAAAACTACTCATTTCACTTGCAAAACTTTGCACAATCCTTTATCCGCGCGTATTAAAGAGTAGACAGTAACTCTGAAATATCTTGTATACTTTTAGAAGAGAAGCTTTTTGCTCTCTTTCTTGCTCTAAAAATTTTAATCTTTTCATAGATATTATTTGAAAAAGAACTCCTATCGTTGGACGCGAGTTCGAGTAGGGCGATCTTTAAATCCTTTGATCTGATTTGCGTATTATCGATAATTACTCCGAAAAAAGATGCTCGCGCTTTCATTTTCCGATTCACTGAATAATCGATTCGCAGATGCGCGTCCTCCAGACGTGACCTTTATTCAGTTTCACCGTGGATCCGCGCACTTCCTCTTTTTCTTTCCCCTTTTCCGCCGGCTCGATGTCCTTTGGCCCCTTTTGAAAGTTCTTAACGCTTTGAACAGAATCGTGTCGGCAGATCTAAAAGTGAACGATCCCGCACCGCTCGCGAATCTAATTGAGCGATTTTTGAACTTGTTATAACTTGGATTTCCCAAACTTTAGTCAAGCGGTGATTTCAGGGACTTTTGCTTGGGAAAGGAAGTAATTAAGGGCCACTGAGAGCCGCAAAATACTTGTATAAAAAATGTTCCAGGCACTGAACATTTCTCTGAACTTTTCAATGCGATAACTCGGTCCTTAGAACCATTTAACCGTCATAGGATTCAAATATTGAGTTTTATTGGACAATTTGATTAAATAGTGTTGTAAATAAATTAATGTAAATAAATACTCGCGACGATGTCAATTTCTATGTATATAATAATGATGTATGCAATAACAACAATAATAATAATTTTAGTAAAATATAATAATGTTACTACACAATAACAATATTAATAGTAAGTTATAAATTGAAATTGATATCGTGAATTTACAATCATAGCGTCTCGATTTTCCGCTTCTGAGTAAAATCACTTTTAGAATAACATAAATATTTCAGCTGCCTGAAATGTCTAAATATAAATGCCACAGCTTTTACATTGCCGATCACAATTTCCATAATCCGTGAAACATATTCCAATCTATTACGTCATTCCCGAACAATGTGACAATCGTCAGAAACGGGAGAAGCTGAAAAAGGAATACTGACGCGTTTACAATTTCGGATTTTATTAACAGAGCCGTCGAGTGCCGGTTTATCCGATGGCGACGTGCCAATTTGATCGCGTGCAACGATCATACGAATTTTCGCTCAACCGGGACGCGCGTTGGCGATCCTTTAAACTGACAACCAGCCGATCGAAATACGAAATCGTCAATATTTGGCTTGCATTAACAACGCGCGTGGGCGGGATATCACTTTCACGTGATACGCTTTGCTCGATCTCGCGTTGCCCACGTCGGTTCTATACATGTCGAACCGAAATACGACGACGCGCCTAGATTTATAAACCAACATGGAAACAAGCACAGCTGTTTAATGGAAGATTTGACTTGGAAATTTGCATGGTTCGTCTCGATTTCCAAAATTCCGAACCAGCGCGCCGCGCTGCGCCACGTCGCGTTTAAACGCGTTTTTGCATCAAGCGATGAGGCTTTTGTTTCGCCGTTCGCTCGTGGAGGCAGACGCGGAGGTAATTCATTTCGCAGCGTTTACACTTCAATGACGGACCAGACACGCGAAAATGGATGCACTTGTTTCGAGAGCGATATACCCGACATTTATGATACTTCACATTCAGTATTTGCATCGAGTGTTACGATATATCGCTGCGAATTAATTACGTTTGTTTGACGCCTTCACTTTGATGTAGTATTGTTATGTGAACGAATGCCACATAAAAGGTATCCAGGCGTCGGTTTAAATCATTTTAAAACAGATACATTTTGAGAAGCCTCGTGTCACGATTCTGTCAAGTTGGAAACCTTCGCGCGCGCACAATATTATCGTGCAATAATTATTTTCAACGACGATAGACGCGTCGTACTTTATCTGTTCAAGTACATTTATCTTGACAGAGCAGATGACATATGCGCATATCTTCCTTCGCTCACTCGCGTGCCATTAATTAAATTTCGAAAATAATCTCAAAGAGATAATATCGCTGGGCCTCGTGGATCTAATTACTGTTCACTTTCATATAGCAATCAATACATACCGCGAGTGACGTCGTTGCAAGTAGTTTATGGCTGTTCGCAGAGTACTGTAAAATTAGCTGGCCCGTGCTCCTGTCTCAAAGCATCTCTCCCTATTTCATGTGCAGAAAGGCAGTAAAGGTCGTTTGTCGTGGAACTTAAACTCGAAACTATCTCCAACTCGACACTGCCGGCGAACTTCAACACCGGCAATTTGGAACGCTTCAATAATAACTGCTTCTCGCGCATTATCTTCTCATTATTATCTTAAAGCAGACGGTAATTGAGTTAAACCGATTCGATTCTCCGTGTGCTTCTGTATAAGATACTCGCTGCTTCCGCTGCTCCTTGGTGAAAAGCTTTTCAATTTGCGTTATATTTCAGCACCTTACTTTTATTATTAATCCCGCTCCCGTCTTAAAGAAGAAAAGATAATGAATCCTGAAAAAATAACAAAATTAGCAGTGTAAACTCCGAACGGGAGCTTCTACTTGAATCTATTACAATATTGTAACTTGTCTGTTACTCCGCGTTAATTGCCGAGATCACACGGTGAACGAGGTCAAAGTTTTTCAACTGAAAAAAAGGAGAGAGATTGCGTTGAAACCCTCTGGATATTCTTATTTGACGTCTCCCGCGAATAGGACATGCTTTCGCACTCAAATTTTATGCACGTTGCGAACGCTAACTGTAGGGACTGGTTTTAAGGACGAACCCGTGTACGTGTCTTTGGAAAATGAAATTGCTTTCGATTTCGCTCCCGCGCTTCTCCGTGATTTCGCGCCGCGGGGAAATGGATTAGACTCGGCCGGGTCTTGCCAGCCGAGTTCGCGCATGCAGCGAAATCGGCTTAAGTCGCGGCGGTAACAGCCGGCAGAATGGTTTTCGTTCGTTTGGAAATTGCTCCAGACTTCGTAGAATAAATGGCAGGTGAAAACGATGACCTGGATGAACCGCGCATTTTCATTTACAATCTGTTATGCGGATATTCATCTATGAAATCTGCATTTATATGACGCTCCGTTGTTTGCCTTATCGCTTATTCATTGGCCGGTGGTTTTTAGACGACAAGAGTTGCTCATAATCCTACCGGCGCGCTATTTGCAAATGATAATAACGCAAAAACAGATACGAGCCTTTGCTTTCAGAGTAATTGTGTTTGATTTTCTTCCGCGTACGCGACTCAGAGTTTAATTAATACTAAATAAGCTACGTCGAAAATTAAAGGTCAATAGTGGATAATTTTTTTTTAGATTAAATTTGGAAAATGCATCGAGTTTTCTTACTGCTCGCATCATTAATGCAAGATACATCTTTGCGCGATGACAGATGCGATAAGAAACGCGGATTTTTATATTTCAATTTAATAATTATATGACCGTTTCGCAATTATGTGTATTAGAGATGAAGTATCTCGCTGCACATTATTTTTGAATCATATTTCCATCTATCTATGCGATTTACGATAATATCTTCGAATCCCTCACATGCGCAAAATCCGTTTGTTTGTACAACATGAGCAATATAATCCGTATTAACTCGGCAACGAGAACAACATTGATATTCATAACGTAAATGATAACGAGGTAAATTCTCTGATCTCCCCATCTACAAGGTGTTCCCAACTTTCCTCCTATCTGCAGTTTCTTTGATCAATTTCGAGCTGAAATTCTTATAACAAATTGCAATGTAGTTGATTGCAACTAAATAAATAACAAAATGCTTCAACAAATTGAATCGCTCTCCGTAGTAAGAAAAAAAAAAAGAAATAGAGCCCGCATCCTAAGCAACGGACGGAATGTGGGACGGAATAACTTTGTTACATGCCTTGCGCGATTACGTATTGAAATACGGCTGAAGAAGCGCAGTTGATTCGGGCGCGCAACTCGTTACATACACCCGATGCGCCGAACCGAGTAGCGTGAAAAAAAGCGTTATCACCGGCATGTTCCACCCGCGTGTGTTGTATGCACGTGCAATCGGCGAATCAACCGGGCCACGAAATTTCAAAAACGAACGTCAATCAATCGGGTCACCAAACTGTCGCCGGGCTAACACGGTTTTACAGCGACGGTTTGCCCGCCGTCGGTCGTCGCAACTGTAGTGATCGATTCCTTCGTGCATCGACGACGTGCGCATTTAGGCGGATAACCCCTATATACGCAGATACGAAAAACTCCACTCCCTGGATAAGGAGAGAAGAAGAAGAAGAGCGAGAGAGGGCAGGAGGAGGAAGAGAGAGAGAGAGAGAGAAAGAGAGAGAGAGAGAGAGAGAGAGAGAGAGAGAGAGAGAGAGAGTAATCGATTGATGTACCCTAGTCGATCCCTTGTCAGATTTTTCGTATAGGAATAGACTCGGCAATGTCCTGTATATATTATTTGGACATTATATTTTTGTGATAAATCACGAAGTGACTTTTTCGATTTCGATAACGTGAAATAAAGTATCGTGGGCGTAAAGGTCGATTACGTGATTTCGATGGAAATATATTGACTTCGAATACAAATCGACCGATCGTACAATCGCGTCCATATAGAAGGCGTAACGGAATATCCGACGTCCATCTAACGTAATACTTTGTGAAATTTTTATACCCCTTTTTGTAAATTTCTGACGATACCGCGTTTAGTACTCGCGCTCAGTACATGAGTAACGTTGCGTATGATAAAGTCAAGTCTGCTCTGGCGGATTTTTATAGGTCACAAAGCGCAGTTTTCACGGCTGGAGCATTCGCGGCTTTATGGACGGGAAAATATTTTCTTTTATACCGGAATGAGCTTAACACGGATAGCCTATATACAACATTTACAATATTTTTTCCCATTACGCGTGGCTTGAAGTACGCGAGGCTATTACCGCGCTATCATCATCGTAATGTAAAATTATTTTTACACACATAAGCATCGAATATCTCGCCAAGTAATATCAAGCAACAAACATGAAATACATATTGAAATACAAGTTTATAGTGTAGTCATATCAATTTCATTAAAACGCGGATTTCAGAGGCAAAAACGGTATAAAACGCGAAAGGAAAATTAAAAAAGAGTAATCTCGGCCTAATGCGCTACTTTTCCACGGCAAAAACGCGATCTTACTATTACCCGTTCGAGATCGTTGATTGTGAATTCGCTAGAGAGTTGATAGAACCTCTTGGAAAAATTTTTAATCAATTCGTGCCGATCTAAGCGCATCTTATCTCAGAGAGCGGTCTGGCGCATTTAAGAAAAGAGTTGCACGCGCGCGCGCGCCGGCACACACAGATACACACTGTCGCGTACCTGCCGACTCAACTCAAGCCGATGCATATGCACGCCTGCTACTCAACGTTAGGAACCAGGGCGCTCAGTATTCATGGAATATCGTTGCTCGAACGTGGCGAGTTGGTAGGGTACAAATTAGTTTAGCCTCCCCCCCCCCCTTCGTATTTGCGCCGCATCTCTGCCGAGGCAGCGGCGCGGAGTACTCAAAAATATTCTCTCCCTCATATATCGGAAGCTACAGCGTCGTTGCATGCGTCAGGTACACCGAGAGCGCGAACATCTTAACTCCCGACATCTCTTCCTCGCCTTCAACGTCGCGCCGATGTCGCACGCGCGAGGGAGTTTTCGGTGCTTAAAGAAATTTCGCGCTACCGCTGAAACGGGGTTGAGAAGAGAGACGGGTGATTTTGTGTTGAGACGACGGTTTTGCCGATAATGCGTTCGTCACGTGTGCGTTGAAGTTTGACGGGACTTTGAGAGGATCTCCGTTAATGTTTTCGGTGAATTTTGCGATGCGATACGTTCGTCGCGCGCGCAACAGAGAACGGAAATTCTATTTTCCGCGAATTGTTTGCGAATATAATTCATTTATTTTCATTTTGGCGTATGGTGTTTTACGGAAAATTTGACTCTGTCGGTAGTTAATAAATTACCGGCTGTTTCATGTGTGAATGCACACGAAGAAATTAAACGCAATGCCCTCGAATGGAGGCATGTCATTTAATATGTATTTCATAATTATCATGGCGCAGAAATAGGTTATTTGACTTGCATATATGCGTGTCGAACACACCCACTACACAATGTGCCTAGCGCGTCGTTTGACATTCCACACGAACAAAATTATTGCGGCATATTTTCCGCAAGAACAGTCAACAAAATGCCACGTGAATGTCAAAATTTACGTATTGACGTTGACAATATCGACTCGATGAATAGAATACATATATTGAGCATAATTTTATAATTTTCATTACAAATGCGATTTGCGGAATATTGCTTTATAGCATTGCGAAATTAATCAATGTAATCGGACTTTTATCTGCAAAATGCATTTTTTTCTGACATTTCCTCTTGTTTTCACCTTTTTCTTTTGTTTTCTCATTATTTTATATATAGCATGAAAACAAGTGAAAGATAAAAAAGCTTGATTTATGAACGAATCAAATCAATAGCATATTTTTTATTTTATTTACAAAATTAATCATTGAAATGCTTTACATAAAAAAATGAAAAATTTATCAGTTTAAATATAAATACATCTATAAAAGCAAATAGATAATTTTTAATCACATTTTGATGTTTCAATTTAGAACACGATCTAATATTTAATTATTATCTTTTTTCGTTTTCCTCATATTCCTTTTATTCATCGAATCGCACGTGTATTCTGTTCCTGTCGGCTTTATCTTTATCTCTGTGTGCAGAGCACGCCAGCTACATCCGCTTATGCTTATAGATTGCCCGATATTAGTTCGCTGCACGTTTGGCACGTCAGCGTCCGTTCCTGATACAAACGTTTATTGCGTCGATTTATACAACATGCGTCTCAATTAAAGCGCAATTTATTTTAATTGCGGTTAAAACAATACTCGCCGCGGACGAAAATTTCGCGCGTTAACTTAAATCGCCAGTCGCGAATTCTGGGGTGAAAATAAAAAAAAGAGAGAAAAAAAAGAGAGAGCAGTTTCGAGTGGCATTTATATCGTCGCGCTAACAGCCGCCTCCATCATCGGCATTTATCGCCGGAATATTTATAGCGCCTGTTGATAATTCGAAAAGAGTGGTGCTCTCGCGAAAATTTTAGAATACGGGTAAGCTGACTGCTAATAAAATATTTACACGCGACACGACGTTTATGTAAATAAATTGCCGCCGCATTACCTCAGCACGTGTAACTTTTTCACAGCGTGGACAGGAAGGAGGAATTTGCTGAAGAAAGATGTGTGTGCGCGCGATGTGACGTTTTATGCAAATGGCGATTCGCCGTAACACAATGTACGACGCCACACTCGTGACGTTTCGCCGCGTCAAATGAAGGAAGCTTCGCCGCAAAAAGGGCATCATCAAAAGAGCTTTCTTGCGATTTATGCGCCACGTCGGGCGAAACCGAGGGCGAATTTATGTGAAAAATGATGAGACTTAAGCTTCGAGCCCGCCAGGTTCCGCGGAATAAT